AAAAAAATGTTCCAAAATATGTTCTAAGTGTATGTCTTACAATATACAGTAGATACATAGTCAGCTGCTGGCATCTCTTGAAATAACAATGTCCTGTGTTGTCCATGACACATCAATAACAAGAACAAATATGCATTAAGCGCGCATAATTATCCATATCCACTGAACAAATATATATATATTATAGTATAATTAATGCATGATAATGCATATGACTGTATAGATATATTGTGGTGGTTGATCTAAATGCCTTCTAACGAAAACGCCATTATTAGTGAAAAGATCTTTACATTCGCGAACTCCATGTTTTAACTGTCGTCGGTATATCAGAAGTCTTCCTCGCATTGGCTGGTTCAACATATTTTATCGTTCGCAGATCTTTGCGGAAACACATGGTAATTGTATGTAATGTTATTTTCTCACCCCCCAAAAAAGCAAACAACATGAAATGCCGACCTTATGATCAACTATCATATACAGCTGGAGAACTTTCTCCACCCTCTGGGCATCTCAGTCGCTTCCGCCGCTCCCACTCCCATCGCTACTCGCTTCACCACCCAAGGTCGAAAGAATGTTGGAGCTACCGCCGTCCTGCGAGCAAACGGCTGACTCAAGAAGTGGCGTGGAGGAAGACTCTGAAGGATTCTAAATGCGACTACTAGACAGTCTAAACAAGACTGAAAGAGTGCCTAGCAGCCTAGCACCCCCTGATGAAATACGAAAGGTGGAAAAATAGAAAGTGAATAGACGAGACAGGTCCATGGCTCCAAGGACATCCTCTCCCGAGTTCATGGGGTTCCGCGTCATGTACATCAAGTGACTAGTGACTATCACCCATATTCACCCATCACATATTGCACCATAAAGGATTCATTATCAAACTCTTGAAACCTTCACATGAAGATCATGAAGCGAGCGAAGAAGCCTTCCAATGTGGTAGAGCCCAATCGAATCCGTTAAAGACTTTTCTGCACACTTGCTGTTGCCAAATTGACCCTCTGCCAGCGTTTGTCTAACAACTGCAGGTCACGACAACAAGCTGTTGATGTTTGATCTTTGGGTGTACTATAATGTTGACTAGTTTCCAAGCTGGTCGAAGGAAACCGAACCGAAGAGTTGGCGCCCGCTTCGCCACTTCTCAATCCCATTCTCCACTTGGTTGCGACACCCCAATATGTAGCCAACATGCCTTCATTATGATTGCACATTATTGCTATCCTGGGTCTGGTAGGTAGGTCTGCAAATACGCTCGAGTTGCTCAAATAAAAAACAAATATGTGATGACACTTATTACATTTCAAACACTCATGATTCAGTTGAGAATTCTGAGATTTGCCGTCTCCTAGCCACTCCATCTTATGTCGCTGCGTCATCATACTGCAGTCACAGCTGAACATCCTTGACCAAAACTGGGCCCCTTCGGCGAAGCCCATCGGCGGGAGGCGTCCTTCTTTTTGGACTTTCTGGATTTGCCCATCTTCTTCACAGAAGTCATGATGAGCTTTTCTAGGCGATCGAACCTGACCAATGAAGTCTTGGTTTTGGAAGTTCAGCCAGCCCAATCCGCACTGTTCGGCAGTTCATAGGGCTCTCAGTCCACTGACTCCATTTCCGGACTCTGGGCCCCCCAAAAAGTCCGCTGATTTTCCAGCCAACGACCTGGACATATGGCTTAACGATATACAGGACATCGCCATAACCACAACAGGACAGATCCGTTCATCCGAGCAAGCTCAATATAGAGTTCCAACTAAATTCATCTAGGACCTCAAAAAGACAGAAAATACATCGTTGCTGAAATATATCTTGTATATACCGAGCTCAAACATCAAATCTACTCTCCCACCATGGCAGCCACAGCACGGCAGCCCCAATCAGGCTTGCCACGGAGGTGTTCCGCGCTTCCGCGCCTATCTTCCATGGAGTCGTCCTCCTCCGGCCAAGGCATTGCCACGGCTGAGGAGCCGCCAAAGCGCCGGATGGAGTCCACAGTGACGATGTTGGTGGCCGCTGGTTCCATAATCTGAACCCCACCTGAGGAGCTCTGAGGCCAACGTGTCATCCGCATCGCAAAGAAAGAACGCGGGTCCGGAGACGAAGGACTTGTGTGGTCCGATTAGGACCGGTGTAGGATGGTTTGGAGGGAGGAGATTGTGGGCTTTGTAGAGGAAAATGATATTTGAGGTCCGCAAAGCAAATAATTCTGTCAAAAGATTTGGCAACACGTAATGATTGTTTGCCTGGTATGCAAACTACGGATGCAAGTCATAGAGGAAGGATGAGGAAGGTGTCCAAGTGAAATGCTTCAATGGTCCAGTGGTACTCCCTGGGATGGAGAGGTCGCACCAACAACATATACTATACTATCAGAGCCAAAAGAGAACTAGATCCAAATCACATGGACTCGAATCATCTATGTCTATGTCTGAATGTTAGAAGATCCAAGAATAACAGCCACTTAGCAGCCTTATCAACACAACTGACTGGCTAAAGGGCAGGGTTCAAAACCAGCAATCTACGATGTAGTCGGGGCGCGCACTTGGATCAGTTGCTTCGATCTTTCTGTTTTCCCGGTCCTGCCTGGCAAGCCGACATCCCCCTCATTGAACTCCAAGCGCTCGTCGAACTTCATGCCTGCGAGATGAGCTCATCTGGGTCATGATACTCTCAGGTCGGCCGGTGAGCAAACGGTTCCGCCCAGCTCTGAATTGGATCACAAGCTACGCCATCCCCTTTCCTTCGGCTCATGTTCAGTATGGAATTGCAAGTTCCTGTGGAGGCATGCAGAGTTGATCTCTCTAGCATCGCCGGGGGTTTAGCGAACAAAAGCACGGGGGTGTCCACGACAAGGGAAACCCTGCAGGAGTGTAGCTTATAGCCTTGAGAAGTCCAAGTGAGGTCCTCAAACAACCCCCTTCAGGAAATCAATCACACCAAACCAAAGCAAACTTCGATGCCACAGGCAAAAAGACGCCTCTAGCACAGCTCTCAGTGTCGAATCACAGAAAACATGATCAACCATGCAATTAACAGTGTCGCCTGAGTACCGCACTCCATGGAGCCCCAATTAGCGAATGGTCTCCGGGGTTGGAGCTCCAGAACTGGGGTCGGAACGCTCTCCCCACCGACGGGGAGTGAAACACCCGATGGCCCTTGGCTCTCTCGCCGCCTTGGAGAAACCTGGCCCAGCGCTTGGCGGAGATTCCCTCCAAAGTGGTGACCTCGCTTGGTGGCATCGTGCGCGCCCCCGATGGAAGGAGAAGGTGGATACGAATGATGGAGGGATAGTGGAGGGATGGATGCATGACTGGCCCCCAGTCGTTCCTGCGTTCATGCCACCGGAGATGATGGGAGTGGTCTCCTTCATGCCCTGCCACTCCCGACGGTAGTAAGGACCGTCAGCCTTGTCATCCTGCCATGTTCTTTTCAGAAGTGGATTCCGGATGTGCTGTACAAAAGGATCCACTGAAGATACCCTAGAGAACTTGAACATCACGCCTTCATCACTCAAAACAAATTGAATGGTTTCATGGTCCCTTCCTAAATCCTGTAATTATATAGTGAATGCTGAATGCTGGTTTAAAAAGGACTACAACTAGGACTAGCTCCTTCAAACAATATGAAACACTCCTACCCCTCCTCCAACGTCCCAACAAAAACGGTGTCAGCTGAAGGCTAAATGGAGGGTGTGTGGAGAAAGGGGGTCAGCAAAAATCGCTTATACGAAGTTAGTGCATCAAAAATACCTTCCACGAAGTTCTGCGAAGGTGTCTGGCATTTTGTTGCAGTCAGTTTTGCTACTGGCCCAATCTTTCCACGAAACATCCACGAATAGCCCCGGGTTCCACGAATGTCCCGCGCCTTCCACGATGTTAGTAGAACAGGTGTTTGCAAAACTCTTTCTGTGCACTACTTCCTGATCAGCGTTTGGCCGAGTGTTTTCTACCCTGGAAGTTTCATAACCAAAAGGAAAAGAATGGAACACTTTAGTTCATCTTCCAGCTACCAACATTTCAATCATCCCCATATACACTACACTCACGCCTGTTCGACCAGCACAGGACAACCAGCCTTCGACTCGTGACTTCTATCGTCCCTTCCAGCCCCTTGAGGGCCGAACGATCACTGAAGCGCGATTCAGTCTCGCATAGCCTGGCGGTGGAGCGCGAGACACATCCTCGTCATGTCCACACACGCCAAATTGAAATGGTTGGTCGCACAGTGGATTGAGTTCTCATGGAAAGTAGATTGAGTTCTCATCTACCTTGTATGACTGAGTCACATCACTTCTGGGCCCGAAGTTCTGTTGACCTTCCTGTCCCGAATGTAAAGCTCGTCCATCAGTGGCGAAAAAACGGGGAAGTGTTCTCAAACAGTTGGCCTCTCAAGACATCACATTACATCTCTGAACCTCACATGACCTGAACCTTTTGAAGCTCCATTGCGAAAGGAAGCTTCAGCAAGGAGACTCTGGATGGCTCTGGGACACTTAGTGTGAGTGGTGCTTTCGCTTTGATCCATATCAGTGTCTTGCGCACTTTCACATTGCTCCGGATCATGGATCCATGGTGAAAAATCCAGTTTCAGGTTCACAATGGAGTGCCCTTTTTCAGGTTAATTGCCCCTGAAGAACCCAAAAAGGAGTCCCTCAGGAGTGCCTGGGACTCCTCCACCAGGCCACCTCTCCCAACGGGCACCTTGCATGTCGGTATAGACATGCTGATAGGCTTGGTTCAGCTGGGCCACCAAGAGATTCACCAAGATCACCGAGACGATCAAAACAAAGGCGATGACCACCTTGATTGGGGCCATGTTTCTGTGGATGTTTTCATTCTCGCAGGTTGGCTAGAGGTGTCGTGGGTGTTGACTTGATCGTCACACTGGAACTTGATGGAGGAGCAAAGCCACTAGAGTTGCTTTGAGGCTTGGCAAATGAGACAGGTCTCAGGAAAAAATTACGGGGTCTGCAAACGGGGAGCAGCCAGTAGAGATTTGGAGTTAAAGACAATTAAAGCCCAAATAGCCCGTGAAAGAGAACGATGGACTAAAAGACGTCGAACCCTTGGTTCGGGGCAGTCTGGGTAGTCCCTGTCTTGAGACACGCATCAGTCCCTGTCTGGATAATGTTTTTCAATGCAAGTGAAGTGGGCCACTTCTAAAGCACTGTCAGGCCGAGGTGCCACCAAAAGATTTGCTTCTTTCTCGAACTCCTGATAGTAGACCTCCAGACATGCCGCGCCCATCAGAACCCATGTAAGTAAGAGCAGCAAGCATATGGAAGCATCAGGGAGCAGGGTGTCAATCGCATCTCACGAAGGCTTCCCTTGGGGGAATTAGCATATTCAAGCACACAAGCACAGGGGGCGCTGCATGGGTTGGCAGACCCCAAAACGTGTCCGATGTTTGTGACGATCAAAGTTTAGGCACAAATGCAAATGCTGTACACATCGCAGGAATTAAGGCCATTTAGGCATGCTATGGGCATTGGACACGGTGGTGAAAGGCGTGTCTTTAGTATGCCGTCTCTTGGGCAGCTTCAAGTCCGCCAACAACCTACGGCATATTGCCTGATGAAAGGCATCAGCAACTACGGGCCACTCCACCAAGCAGGTCCAGAACCACATTCATTTGGAGTATGTTTTATGATTTACAAATACTTGCTCCTTTGGCCCTGGTCCTTTGGCCCTAGCCCTTAATTTGGATCTTAAACATAAACATCAGTTCATACATACTTTTCATGTTGCACCCATATCATACTACAAACATATATATATAGTACAATCTACAAACTGCACTTCTGTAGGAAGGGTTGAAGCGCTGTGCGTAGGCCATGTGGGCCAAGAGTTCGGTGGAGAGTCACATGTTGGAGATCTTCACAGGACGCTTCACTGTAGTTCATTCAGGTTGCTTTAAGCATTGGGTAGAACGCATGACATGTTCATGTGTCATTATAGGACGCTCCTAGTAGCGATGCCAAGAGCCCCTAGTTTAAATAAGGTCCGAATCGTTCATAGCTAATTATGAGATGACGTCCATGGCCCAGAAGACGACGACATGTACAAAGAGTCAAACCGCTCAACAGTGTGCTGCGACCTGTGGGAACATCGCCAGCGACATCTGCGTCAACGACAAGAGCCAGGTTCCGAAGTCCTGAGAATTGTGACGTCGGAAGCAGCGGTGGGGAAGAAACATCCGAGGGGACACGGTTCTCAAGTCAACAAGAATTGCATCAGCGTTCAAGAAGGTTCTTTCGGGGCAGGAGCTGGAAAAACTTGAAGAACATCTTCTGTTGGTGCCATTTCAATTGGAAGGAATATCCTGTCACTTTGGCCTAAGAAGCCCTCAAGGAAGGCTCCAACGCCGGTCCCCGATAAGGTGGCATAGTTGCTTGAAAATCGCGGAGCAAGACCAATCAAAACCTGCTCCCCTTTCCTCCCTGCCAATTAAGAGAAACGGGACTTTTGCGCAAAACCCCACCTCCCAGTATCCCCAGTGTTGCAGACATGTCTCAGCAAAGTCCAACAGCTCATGCTCTAAAGCCATGATGGCAGTGGAGTAGGAGATCACCAGAAAAACCAAGGCCTCAAAGGACATTCGCCGGACGCGCCCGTGAAGCGCGCCCTGAAGTGGTGTTAGGTCGTGGTGTGGTTTCTTGTGGGGCAGAATTGGCTGGACCCTGATCTTAATTATCTTGTTACTAGTAGCTTCTTGTTACTAGTAGTAAGGCCAGGAGCCCCTAGTAGCTTCTTGTTACTACTAGTAAGGCACTTGTTACTAGAAGCGATGCACTTGTTAGTGATAGACGTCAATGATACATGTACCTTCCTGCAGCAATCTCCTTTCCAAAGGACCTTCATCTTCCAGTTGAGGCCTTCCAGGGATTGCTATGTCAGACTAGAGCAGGCCATTGGTCTATCCTTGGATGTTGAATTTTCACCGAGCTCTGGAGCTCTCAGTATCATCCTCCCTTCCAATACCTTCAATGTGTTGGGACTGGAAGCATCCGCCTCCAAAGTCGTCATTTACTGGAGCATCAAATGCCAAGCCTATACCAGTGAAGAAACAACGCTCAACAGTCCAATCCCCGAAGAAACCAGTCTCTTCATCTGAGGACACCCTTTCACGTCCGTCAGACCATGTCAGACCGATGCCCATCGTGAGACGTCAAAAACCCAGGTCGAGGCACCATGATGAAGAGCGCCACCTGGCAGCTTCCGTCTCAACATCTGTACTTCTGTTGATCCAAAGGGATCTCTCTCTATATATATATATATATTTGGGGATTATTCCTCCATTCCCAGCTAAACACCAGCAGTCTGCAAAGGACTGCAATTTCTTGGAGTCGTTCCCTTCGGATCAAACCAACCATTCTTAAAGGACATATACAGACAACATGGATTGTGATCTATCGTACAAAGGAACCACCGAAGCACTGCGCCACATGGCAATTCAGTCTGGTGAACCTGTTTATTTGCACACAGCGAACATTGGTGTCGTACACGTTAGACTCACAACTGCAAAGCAGGAGAGCTCTTGCATGCTCTTTCCAACTCCAAAAATAAACATGTGTTCATGAGCAAAGCTTGTCAGTCCCAACTCTTCCCAGCCCATTGTGCGCAGAACATGCACTTCTCAGGCAATAAATACCACCCCAAATCACCCAAATCCGATGTTCCCTAATCAGACCTTGTCCTGATGGAATGCCTTCACTCAAGGACCAGATCTGGCAAAGGAAAGGAATGATCGAGTGGGCTATCTGGCCTCCTCCTCAAGCAGATCCCACGACCGAAACAAAAAGAAGCATGCCTCTGACAAGACCCTCCCGAAGACCAACACATAGGCGCTGATGTGCATGGAGAATATGGAAAAGTCTAAGAGCAAGGTCCAGTAGAGAAGGATGGCCAGACCTGGTTGATGAACAATCATTGCCAGCCAAATAAGCAAGATCATGCCAGTGTTCCATCACCAAAAAATAAACACAAGCCTACATGACTGTCCCATAATGTATATTTAATGTCCCATAGGTCCCCTCTTGATTGCCTAATCAAGTAACTAGCCCAGGTAGAGTAGAGTAGAGTATTGGTGATTGGCCGTTTGTTTGTTTGATTGTTTGTGTGTGGGTTTTCTCTTTTTTAGCTGTGCACTACTTGAGAGCAGGACCTTCACCATTTCACCAGTGACAGAGTTTTGGAGACGAGTCGACTCACAGGAACGCGGATAATTTCTCGTGAATTTGGAGGCATTGCCCGGGCATGGCGACATCTTGATCGAGATATATAAATTCAGTATATAAACATCTGCTGTTTGTCATTGACAGGCGGGGATAAAGAGTTCAACCGCCGAATAGTCCTGTTGAAGGAAGACATCGAGAAGTCAGTAGATAGAAGCAAAAGCACGCAAAAGCTCTTTTATCTTACAAATCCAAGGCACAAGAAAACATCGAGTATACTCGCTTGGTTCCATCATCCAGCACCGACTGGCAGTGTGTGCTGAATATAATGTGGTCTTCAGTGGTGGAGAAAGCTCCACAGCGCCACAGTGGTTCCGTCGTACACATCCCGACCAAGAGCCAAAAAAGCATAAAGTTGCCACCAGATTGCCTTAGCTTTGTCAAATCAAAGACATGACTCATTTGAGCTGTCTCTTCTGTCACTCCCTACAAGTATATTACCCATCTTCTCCACTTGTTCTTTGACCCAGTTCGTGGACTCAAATTGTCAAGAAATGTCTGGCTTCAGAGTTATTAGCATAATTTATAGACGACATTAATATATAATTGTTTAAATCTTGTCAACGACATGGGTCACGATTCCAAAGACGAGTCCTTTTTGCCTGGCTGCAGCGAAAACAAATACTGCGGGATTGGGATGTAGTACGTCCGATCAATGGCGCCACTTTTGCAGTCAGCCACAAAACTTCGAATTTGCGTGTAGAGGATCTTGCACATGCTCCCCAAATACCTCGCTGTGCACGGGTTTGCGAACAGACCAGGTTTGCGACAAGGGCTGAGCTGGCAAAGGTAGTAAAGGAAATACTCTAGTACAGTACAGCACTACATGCGAATAGGGAAGCAGGATGAATACACTGCTTGCCCCCCTTGAAGGTTACATGTACAACATATGATTTGTGCCACCTCAGCTACCCCCACGTATCGTTTTGGTGGCTGAAATGCCCACTAACTCTGCCCTCCATCCTTATGGAGTCTGAAGAACGCCAGTAGGTTGGAGGCCCTCGCAATTAGGTTGGTTGCTGTCGCTACTAGGATGAAGGCCATCGCCAGCCATCGCTACTAGGATGGAGGCCATCGCTAGTAGGATGGAGGCCATCGCAATTAGGTTGAATGCAGTCGCTAGTAGGTTGGAGGCCGTCGCAATTAGGTTGGAGGCCATCGCTAGTAGGATGGAGGCCATTTGTACTAGATGAATTTGGTGGATGCTTTTGGCTGAGTCGTTCGAGTTCTTTTCATGACCCAGGCGGCAAAAAGACGCGGCAAATGAAGACCACGATGTTGGCTTCTAAGGTTTCAGATCTGTGCATTGCCGAGGGTATCGACAGGAAGGACTGGCTGGTCACTGCCAAGCCTCGGCACGGCATGAATCTAGGTGTGGGCAGCATGAACCAGTACTGGTTGCTCGGGGTGGGTGATTGACCTGATTTGCAAAAGACCTGTCTCCCTCTCTCTGGGTCAAAGCTTCAGGAAAGGACTCACAAAAAGGAAGTACCCACATCTTCAAGGTGTCTTCCCTCCACCTTCCACATGTTCACAGGAACATGGGCTTCATGTGCCATTGTGGGCAAATGAAGAGTACCACAGACCGGCAGTGCGGAATGATTTGTTCAGGCCCCCCTAACTCAAAAGCATCCACTGGGGGTGCTTTTCCCTTGAGCATTTCAAGAAAGTAAACTAAGCGAACCCCCCGAACCCAGCTGGCAGCACACATCCGGAAGGTGGTGAAACTCCCTCATCCGCACATGCACACGGAGTTCAGGGCCTGGAGTCGAAGGGGTAGCAACAAAGCCTAAAGCATGTTAAAACCATCCGGAGTATGCTGGCATAGCCTCCTTTGCGGAGCATGCTCTCGTCTTTAGAGCGCAAAATACTGCAAGGTTGGCTTCCCAGCTTGCGGCCAAGGAGCAAAGTGTAAAAAGGAAATAGCATCTGCCCAAGAGAAAGTGGTATGCTACAAGACCTTAGATCATCTATTGGTCTGTGGCTTGCTTTTTCACGCAAACGAAAGCCCCACACGTGTAGAAATAGAGGCTGGCCTTGGTCGATGATCCTTGGGTACCTCATGGTACCTCTGAACAGGACATGTTGCATGCCGATGCTAAAGTACACAACTTCTCTTGAAACTATATAGCTGGCAAAGAACCCAATCTCTGCCTACATCTCTGGGACAAGAAGTGATAACTGCAATGTCCTTTTCGCATCTTTTCGCCAGCGACTCAAGCACCAAGTGGCGAGTCCACATGAGATCTGCCACGAGCACCACAGTAAACTGGCTGATCCTTGGACACTAAGGCTCACCAAGGCCTTGACCATGACGGACCATGGACGGACCATGACAGACCAAATCCGTGAAAACTAGGAACTAGGAGTCCACTCATCTAAGTTGTTGAACACATTTGTTCAACAACAGTCGATTTCGGCCGAGCATCATCACTGGATTGCCATATTCTACTAACCATTGAAGAGCTTGATGATGATTTCCATCAACATCTTGCATCAAATGCTTGCAGTAGCAGTTGACTCGTCTGTAGCCATTGGAAATCACTCTGGAACGCCAAATCAGGCCTGGTGATGCTCAGCGCCGGACCGCCACAACTGTGGCAACTTGTAAAGTCGTACCATATGTGGATCCCTGGGGTGGGAGGTTGAATACTAATGTAGACTCTTATATAAGTCTTGAACAACAAACCCCCAATTGAATTGGACATCATATTATTGATCAATCATGAATCCTATGTGGATCCCTAGGAGCCCATCGAGAGCGCGAATTCGCCTTCCAAGAGCGGATCCAATAAGGAGGGCGCGCTGGACGAGAGCTTCCTCGGTTTGTGACGAAATCCCATCCACGATCCATTTCGTCCAGGACAAATTGGAGTGATCCGAAAATGACCACTTCCGCACTTCCTCATTTGCTTTTCAGCCGGGGATGATGGGTACTCGAGTCATGGTCGCCATAGGCATGAAGAGTGAAAAGAAACTATCAGAATAGCTGCTGACGCGCTAGACACGCTAAAACCCCGATTGTTCAGGGTCCCAAATTGAATTGTGTCCCCAATGTATCGGTCTGTAGAACCACATACAACTAAGAACTCTGCTGCCCACACTGAGCATTCATCCATGATCTGATGAAACAAATCAAAAGGCCTATGATGATGATCCTGGTAGTTGGGGCAGTAACATGTACTGTGAACACAAGTTGCGTCATTTCATATTATCCAATTGGATCCGTTGCAGGGTACTCCTTTGTTCAATGAACACTTGAATTCTAGTTTGTGCGTGGCTCAACAACAATGTGCGAACTGTGCAAGCTAAAATCTCGCACTTGTACTATATAGCAAGCATTAGCAAACACTCTCAGTTGGTTGCTCAAGGAAGCCAGAGCTTCATCCGTGTCTGTCTACAATCCCTGCAAACTACTGTATATTGAATGCGATCCATTCAACTACGTCTTCCAAGTCCTTTGATGCCTGCTATTGCCTGCTTCTTTGAGCAGTTGTTTCGCTGCAACTAAACAAACAGGAATACTTGGTGCTCTAATGTGCTCTATATTCACTCTATTATGGTTTTGTTGAAAGCTAAGCATCTTGATCACCTCCGGATGCCGAGTGAACAAAGCGTCCTGAGTTCAGTCACTGGAGGCTCAACATTGGGACTGCAATATAAAGGCGTGACCGGGGGGGCAGTCCCACCGTGAGATGCGCCACATTGGAATGCATTACATATATATATGATATATGTATATTTATATTATAATTGAAGGGATTCAAGGAATGCTTCTTTCACTGTTTGAAGCAAAACTGGCGTCATGGTTGAGGTGTGACCTTCCATGGCACTGAAAGCCACGGAGTTTTTGACGGTTTTTCACTGCAAGGCGTCCGCTCCAAAATAGTAGTTGTCTCGATCTGCTCGGATGGTCAACAAGTCCTGGATGGCTGGGCCACAAGAGGTCGGCACGTCTCGGCTGCTGCTATACATTGATACCAAGGAACTACAAAGCGATGGACATTTCATAGAGCTGTTCCTTTTTGATCCTCTCAAAAGGAACCAATGCTAATACAGCGTTTCGGATCTTCTCAGCTCCCTCTCCTATCTCATGTTATCTCCGATCTCCTACAGCCTAAACAAATTGACTACTACAGCTTGGGTTTGAAGGACAACAACTGCAAACAAGGAGTAAACCAAATCAAATTGTTCCTCCAACTTTCTTGGCCCCCTTCACCCAAAATCTCCTCTGTCTTTGCTCCCTTCCACCAGGCAGGCCCGGCTTACTTGGCTGAGTTGTTCCCCACAAGAAGCTACTATTACTAGTAGCAAGGACACTATTAGGTGGAGGCCATCGCTACGAGTAGCAAGAAGCATTCTAATTGACCCTTTGTTTCCTCGTCACATCCCCCAGGCCTCGATCATTGCTTGTGCACACACGAGGCTACCAGACTCAATGGCCCAGTAGAGCGGCGAGATGGACTGAGTGCCTCGGTGTCCCCGATCGACCGACTTCCCCGGTTCAGCCGTCCCTGACCAGTGTGAGCCAGTGCGTGCGGTTCGTTGGGGAGGATGGGTTTTAGCCTGAAGTTCCTTGATCAATGGTTATTATGATCAAGGAAGAACATCCTGCATAAAACTCTAAACAATTGTCTTGTTGCGGACATTTGGCCCGGCAGGCTTTGACATTCTTCCCGACGCCAATTCCAGAACAATCCGCACACCTATTATATAACTTGATGTCTATTCTATTCAAACCATCCAAGTTCATCAAATCATGCGGGGCTCCTATTGAAAGATTTGAAAGGTGACTATCAAACAAAGTTCCTCGGACAATGAGTACAAGTACCAGTTCTTTTTAAATAGGATCATTTCCCATTTTCTAGGGTCCTTTGGAGGGTCCGGGTATTAACTTCTTGAAGCCATGGCCATGGCACCCACTGTAATGTTCAGCAGCTCCATCGCACGCTTCCCGCGGGGCGCCACTGCAATAGCCTGCACGTCACGAGTGGTGCTGCTGGCAAAGAATGTTGGCAGCCAGGAATCAGCAAAGCACCTCCCAATCACAGTGGTAGGACCTGCTAGGAGGAATAGCCAAAATAAAAAGCCATTCTGGCAAAACGACTTCCCTTGCAGTCCCTACTATGTCTGGTCTGTGTGGTCCCCACTTTCTCTCGGTTGTCTGAATTGATTGGATCGTAGCGTCGCATTGTCCCGGAATTGAGCTATTCTGAAACATGTCAAATTATCGAATGTGGAATGGACTTGCGACTTCTGGTTCACCTGGTTCAAGTTGCATGGTGTGAATGAAACTGAAGAGATTAATTCGGGGCCTAAATTCGATGGATATGATGGATCAACTACTGCAGATCGCAGCAAATGGGAGTTTCCACCGGGTTTTGGATGGTTTTGGTCTTTGGGAAGTCTCCCTACCGCAGGTCACAAAGCCGCCAAGACGGATGCGGCCAGGTCCGGTGTTCTCCTTTTGCCGGGAAGAATATTGATGGAACATATGGGACATATCACGAGTTGTTGGGTATCGTCTTTTTCATCCTATTCATACCAAAAAAAAACTGACAGCATACTGACAGGAAATCTCTTGGCCAGCTGGCTTGCTGGCAGAACAACCAATTAAAACTACTTCGGCCGTTCGTCAGGCCATCTTCAAAACAATAAGGTCTGCATACCCCTCCTTGTTGGCTCAACCCTAAGTCCCCCTTGGTGCAACACGCCATCCCGGCCAACCTTCTTGAGATTCTTCTCAATGTTGGTATTGATGGCCTTGGCGCACCAAACAGCCAAACACACTATTTATTTGCCACAGCCTTAGGCAGTTGAGTAAAACCATGAAACACCTTGAAAAAACAGTTAGAGGATGTTAGAGGTACAAATCTCAGGTGACTCTTGAGCCATGCCCACTCGAGCGCCTTTTGAATGGAGTCCATAGGCGCACGATGACCCTTTTGGATGTCAGCGTCTCATCTCACTCAATTCACTAGGTTTGATGAGGAAAGTTGTGTCAGGCTGCAGTGTTCTCACTTTGGTCTCACATCCAGCTTCTCAGTAAACGAGCTCTTTGATTCATTAATGTGTACCTCTGATTAATAAACGTCCCTAGAATAATATTTGATGCCTTTGGAGGCTTTTGGATGGACATGTCTATTAAACATTTGAAGATTTCCATTGAGATTTGATGCTTTTGGAGGCTTTTGGATTGAGATTTCTATTAACCATTTGAAGATTTCCATTTCTTTTCCTTTTGGTTTGCTTTACTTACCTAAGCTCTTTAGTCTTTAAGCTTTCCAAAAGTGTCCAAAAGTCAATGCACACTGTCTTTACACAATCCCTTATTCAAAAGTATTGAAAAAGAAATCATTCAAGCAAAGGGGGTAGTCCAGCAAGCAGCTTTCTGACATTATTATTTGGGGGGGGGGCCCTAGAATAATGTCTAGAGATTTCAGGCTTAAAACATAGTTTGCGTTAAGTAAACTTGTATGCATTCCCTTTCTTTTCCTTTTGGTTTGCTTTACTTACCTAAGCTCTTTAGTCTTTAAGATGTCCAAAAGTTTCCAAAAAGTCAGTGCACACTTTCTTTACAAAATCCCTTATTCAAACGTATTGAAAAACATCATTCAAGCAAAGGGGGTAGTCCAGCAAGCAGCTTTCTGACCTTATTTGGGGGGGGCCCTAGAATAATGTCTAGAGTCTAGAGATTTCAGGCTTAAAAAGAATATGTTGCTTTAAGTAAACTTGTATTCCTTCCCTTTATTTCCGTTTTGATTTGCTTTACTTACCCAAGCTCTTCAGTCTTTAAGCTTTCCAAAAGTTTCCAAAAGTCAGTGCAAACGTTCTTTACAAAATCCCTTATTCAAAAGTATTGAAAAAAATAAACATTCAAGCAAAGGGGGTAGTCCAGCAAGCAGCTTTCTGGGATTATTTAGGGGGGGGCCCTAGAATAATGTCCAGAGATTTCAGGCTCCAAGAAATGTGTTGCTTAATCATTCCCTTATTTCCTGAAAGTCAGATTCTTTTCATTTTTAGTATTGACAGAGATAGCTAAGACATGATTCTTTTCATGTTCATCAATTGATTGGTTCTGTATCATATTATTCTAGAGTCTAAAGGATCCAATTGTTGAGAGGGGGGGGCGGGGGGTGAGTTTATTAATCAAGAGTCAACATTAAATCATCAGCATCTTTGGTCACCGTCTCGTTGCTCACGTCCGTCTCTTTCTCCCACTGCGTGTCTCCGCGTGTCTCCCACGCCTGCATGACCACCGTGGAGCCTTCCACCAGCGTTCGCACCTCGGGGATTCTGCGAACGAACTCTGCGAACGAACTTTGGTCCGACTGTCCGGTGTAGATCGCGAAGCCGGTTTCGGATCTCGATCCAAAACATGACCCTTTCCGGGCTCATTGTTGAGTGTTAAAATCTGCAGTGCTAAGAGGGTGTTCAATTTGGTATCAAACGTATAGCGAGAAATAAGAGAATTTGGTACCCCGATGTACCCTGGAGCTCTTGACCGCTCCAAACTCAGCTCGCACGAGATGTATCAATTCAGTGGTTTGTGGAGTCCAAGAGAAGAAGAATTGGAAGGGAGAGAACCTGCACATGAAGGGTAAGAAACGCAACCAGTGGACTGACCAGCAGAATGCTGGTTTCAGAGAGCATGTTGCAATCAACACATGGCATGCAACAACGTTTGGCGCTAAAAACGTTCATGTACAAATCACTCAAGTCCCTTTTTCTCAACCCCAAAACTCATGGACATCAGAGACTCCACGCCCCACACTGCATGTTTCCCTCCCTCTCCCGCCACGGTGCCATGATCTTGGCGATGAGCGTCAAGGACCATGCAAAGGCCGTCTGCGTGTGGTCGTCTGTGGTCATCCCACGGATCACCTGCGCTCGTCCACGGGCAAAACATGTGCCTCTTCGCGTTTCAGCGGAGTCGCGGCGAAGGGCGGGAAGTCGCAGCGTGGAGTGTGGCCTGGTTTTGGTGGGCAATTCCGTTGGTATACATCGGAATCATATGTGATCAAACATGTGCCGATCCGAGACCCCGAATTCCAAGAGTCCTTGTGCACAGTCCAGAGGATGGATCTGTCGATCTGTCAAACTTCAATGAGCGAAGACGGAGAGGATGTTTTTGAAAGTGGCGAGATGGTGGGACCATGTGAGCTCATGTGGCACCTGCATTCTACAAAGTCTTTGCTTTCACAATGTTTCATAGTGTCATATAAATACCATGTAATATCAACACTGCAAGGGTCTCCAGAAATCCACGAACCCGGCCTCAACTGCTGAGGTCACATAGGGTGAGAAGAGCTCCGTGGGAACACCGTAGCCCACATGTCTCAATCCCAAGCCCGACAATTCCTGCGACTTCGAGTTTGTGGAAACAAATTCACCGTGTGAACAATGGCAAGTCGAGATCGCCAGGTAAAATAGAACAATGGCAAGAGAGAGAGAGAGAGAGAGTGAAGGCATGGGAAACATCACCATGCATCACCCATCTCGAGAAATGCTGCCACGGAATAACAATTAACATGAGATCATATATTAAGACTCTAGGACCCTGCAAATCTGCCTCTTGGCTTGGTGGACTTGCTTCAAAGATTGAAGAAGTTCCAGGTTCAGCTAGTCCACAATCCGAAGCGCTGTCCTCCACCATTTTCTTTGGTGTACGATACATCTCCACAGTCATCTCCACAATTTTCTCGGCAATGAAGTAGAGGCGGGTGGTCGACTGCTTGAAGAAGTCTTGCCCTGAAGGAGCCTCATCTCAGCAAGATTAGTCGGCGTGATGTTGGTTGGTGTCAGTAGGTGTGCAGGACAACACAACTGATGACGGTTCTCAGAAATTGTATTCCGAATGAACACAACCAACCATATGTGCACATTTGCATCATGTTGCCTTACTTGACGCGAAGAGTAAACCAACCTGAGTGTCTATAGTGTCTGAAGACATTCTTTTGCCGATGGCTGAGGGTATCCTCCGACCCTCCAGTCCTGAGATAGAGTCCTGGTGGTCACCAAGCTGCAAGCTGAAAGAACCGTTTGTACTGGTCCCGGCAATAGCTGGTCAGGTGCTCCTGGCCATGCGCAAGTATAAGGCGCTCCGGGCGACCCCAGCACTGATCGACCAACCAATCACGTTGAACGGATCCTCTAGACTAGAACAAGTGAACATCAATTTATAGTATAAATATAATATATATATAGTAATAGTATTGTTTTATAATGTTTTATATATTCATGATGTTGATCTTGTTTAGATCAGCAAGTCAGTGTTAAATGACTCCAGCTACATGCTCTCGGGCCATCCATTGCAGTGCTGACCCCACCTGCTGCAGTCCGCCTATAAACCTCTCCAGGGCTTTTTGATGCGCCCTTGGCTTGCCTGGCGATCTCCCGTTCGCAGAATGCCACAGCGTCTGTGCTAAGTGGATCTAACTGGAGGCGTCTCACATAAAGAAACATCCAAAAATGTTGAGTATATTCATCCATTTCCTCAGCACTCTGGTGAGATTCATAAGGTTGAGTACACCACCATCAAATAAACAACACGTTCCTCAAGAAACTTGTTTTTCCGTGGGCAGCTGCGCTCGGGCGGTCTCCAGAGCTCCAGTTGGCCCCTATTGCACCAAAGTCAGGGGCAGGTGTTCAAACATAAGATGATGGTTGAACGGGGTGGTGGATTGTTGAAGACCCCTTCATTGAGCCCCGTTATGCCCCGCGAAACGGGTTCCTCCAGATCCAAACCCATGGTCCAGTCGCCTAACTGCTGTCTGAGGAGACGCTCCACATTCTCCCAGAGCCAGTTCCAGGCCACCTGTTGTCTGACGGAAGCGTTTGACAAGGCCCCGGGCACCACGTTTTTTGGGGAATGACGCTGGAAGAACGTCCTGGGTTGAATACAAAATAACACAAAACAAAGACTTACCTATCCAGCAGCTCTGTAGTCTCTTTTGAAGCATCAAAGCGCTACTATTTACAGGAGTTTCACTTGAAGGATGTGGGGAGAATGAGAGGAGAATGAGGTCGACCAGCCAAAAGGATTAGTTTTTGGATTAAAGGATTTAGAAAGGAATCCCACGCAACGTAAGTTGTAGGAAGCCTCAGCTCTCGCTTCGCTCCGCTTGCTTTGGCCTCGTGCTGCGAGTTCCACTCCTTCGGCACTAATGACCTGAGGATCACCGCGGTTGGTGGGGTGACCTTCAGAAACCCATACCGGGTTCCCGGTCTGTTCCTTTCTACACAGGCAGGGTGTGTTTGGGAGGTGGCGAACGAAGCAAAAGGACCATCTCGTTTCAATGATTCCGCAGTTCCAGGCCATATATAAACTGTCTCGGCAGCATGTTTACATCTATCTAATAAAACCAGCGGTGAGAGAAACAGAAAACATCTATATACACAAACTAATCCAAACTTCCCCTCAGAGATACAATATAATATATATTTACATACATATATGCAGTATATACTGATATGCTGTGTGATATTATGTAATTACAAGAGAGGCATATCAGCTGCTGTGTATCAGGGTTAATTCTGAGTGCTTGGGTTTTGTTGCTTCATCCAGCATTCCAACACGTGGGAGTTTGTAGCTATCCAGCATAGACACAACATGAGCTATTCAATATTTCAATGTGTTGCTCCCACATGTGCTGATCCAACAATTCACCTGAGTATATAGCCCTTGTCGCTGTAATGTCTCAACAAAAAGGCACTCAAAAATATCATCCATGATGATGTTGCAATGAAGTGTGGGGAATGTGTAACAGAAATGGGGTCCTCCTCTTGCCCGGCCTCAAAGAAGCTAACATCACTGCCTTGAATTCTGGAAGGTTGATGTCGCCTCCACCAGATTGGCAGGTCTAGGAAATCTGTTTCGTCTGCTCAGTATGTGTGTCCCTGGACGAACATTCAGTGGACTGCAAATTTTATGTTGCCAAATGTTTCTATGTCTCAATCCAATGAGGCTGTCCCACACGGGATGGATTCCAGGTCTTTCAATCCTGGTTCAACAACGTTGTGCACTGGTTTTCTACTGGTCCTTCTGCTCCAGAAGGTACGGTTGGAACCTAACTGCTGCACAAAGCCTCTGTCCGTTTGCCTTTCCAGGATTTGATAAGCCAATCTGAGACTCTCAACAGTGATGCATCATCTCACGCCAAATTCATCTGTAGCAATTTGTCACTGCAACACACATACACCTGTCAGATCTCTAAATCCAAAAAATACCACTTGGGCAGCCGAGCCAATAGTGTGGGCAGTATAAACATCCACCAGGAGCAAGGACGCTACTAGGGGCTTCTGGCCTTACTACTAGGAGCAAGGACGCTACTAAAGTTCCAAGACCAAATCCTCCTGAAACCATGACAACGATGTCGGCTGTCCCAGTCGACGGATTCGGCCTTTGCATTTCGCCAAATTCAGCGAAAGCCTTGGTGTCAACCAACGGCCACTGGGCAGCCCGGCGACCACTCGGACAAGTCCGTGGGCAGTTGCGGATCAGATTTCTGGTTGCGGATAACTCATTGGGAGATAGGATGTCCCCAATCCCCGAATGTGTCCAATTCTCTCTGAAATGAACCCGCTCATTATCATGTCTATTTGGAGGTCATGGTCCCGGTTCACACTGCCTGGAGATGATCAACTTGCAAATTGCCTCCCCATGTATGTAGAGGCCTAAGTGCACCTGCGATTCTAGGACTCTCACGATCCTGGCCACTACAAGAATATCAACAACTCGAAACCACAAGCAGTTGCTCTGAGAAACAAATAACAAACAATGGGCACTACAAGCGTCGGGGTTTAATCACCCAGGTGTGCAAAAAGTCACCCGGCCGCACGGAAACGCAGCATTGGTCAAAAGTCACCCGGCTTGCGAAAAGTCACCCGTCTTACGTAAAGAACAACACCATGGAAACGCTCTACCGAAGTATGTTGGCCAAAACTGCTGTACATCATCAAGAATTCAACTGATACTGATACTCTAGAGATCATCTTCAAATCACTTTTTGGTCATCTTCCCTCCAACCTGCATGGAAACGAAGCATGATAACAATGGTATTGAAGTGATAGTCTTCCAACTATACTGCCATCTTGCACCTAAACCGCATGCAAACGCAGCATCCAAACGACTTTCTACAAGACCCAGTATTAAGAACCATTGAGAACTCGTGCCCAAATCTGCAACTCTCCTAGTCAAATCACAAGGACAAGCATCCTGGCTGATCCATGTCTTGGGAGGGACCTGCACGACCTATTTTTAGACCAAGCAGCACATCACATTCCTCTTGCAAGCGATATGAATTCGCGACGTTGGAAACGATGGGGTCGAAATACTCCTGACGTGGTCGACCGATGCGCCATCCGAGGTGGACTCGACGAAGCACCGGTCGACCTCTACGGATCTCAGGGCCTGCGGCCGCCTGCGAAGGGCATCGGGTCGTGTTTTTGGTGCATCAAGAGTGGGTAGGGACATGTAAGACATGTAGGGATGCGGTTAAAAAGTCAACATTCAACCAAGGAGCCAGGATAAATTTCATCCAGGTACTATTCGCGTAGCCCATCACCTGGCCGTGAACACCCATGAAACCCTTGTTTCTTAGCATCGTTGACGCGCGAAAAGGAACACCTGAAACGCGAACTCGATTCCGATACTCACCAAGCATGATGTGAAAGAGATGAAAGGCGATCCTCTCAGCAAAACACAAGGATTGCTATGAATTGCTTATTATTACCGTTAATTGCTCTCCAAACGCCGCAACAGCCGCCAGTTTTTTGGTAACGGAAGAACTGAGAGATACCTTTGCCCAGTTCGGTTCGTCGTAGCTCGTTTATATTTGACTCTAATCAGAGACAAATCAGTTTATACAATAAATTGAAATCCAAGTGACCGCGGCATTAAAGAGAAACATTTCATCAAAGGTTGTCGGCACTTTCAACTGAGGATTCTTTCCTGAGATGCGCCAAATGCTTGAGGTATACTGTATACTGCACACCCACGCACATACATGGCCTGGAAAAAGCTCCTTGAAAAACCACAAGGCAGCTTTGAGGAGGAACACTTCGAGGAGACATCTTGAATTAGAGACCTGACTCACCTTTAGCACCATGAACACCATGACGAAACATTTGAAGCTATGCAATGGCCTCTCTTCCAAGTCATTCCATCTTGGAGGAGTATGTTGTTTTGTGTGTGTGTATCATTGGAGTGTGGCGTGGAGCTATCTTTTGCAGGTAAATAGTCCATACACACAGCAGACCTGAGCATGAGAGAGAGAGAGAGAGAATAAGACTTGTATGGACTTATACACTTACCAACTACACTCCAGCCACCAAGATAGTCAAAGACTTGTCTACCAGGGGTAGTTCTTTCCGAAGCACATGGCGTCGTTATCCTCAGCCGGTACAGCAAAGACTTAATTGTCGTCCACACGTCGAAAAGGGAATTCTCGGAAGGGCTCACCATGGCTCATCCTTCACTGCCCTTCCGTGCAGTGTTTTCCTCTACAACACCAAAGGACATCGCTACTAGTAACATTACTACTAGGAACAAGAAGCGACGAGTCCAATCTTACATGTCATCCCCGCAACTTCCAAGCTTCCAGTGCCATCTTGGCTTTTCAGATTCGCCTCACAAGCGAATCGAGACAAGGGGGGAGACATCCATAAACGGGGTCGGTCAACCATGGATCATGTTCCCACAGCTTGTGCACAACTGGAGCGTGGTGAGGTATCTGCCAAGCCCACCAGTCCCAGCTGGGCTCTAAAGACTAGTTGAAGCTTGCTCTTTGTCCTCTCCAAGGTGCATCTGCTTGCACATGCTCTTGTGCCACTTCTTCCTCCTCCTCGTCATCATCCGACTTACTATCAAGATCCTCGATCTGCTCGACCGTTTCCTTGGCAAAGCCCACAAACAATGCTGCTAAAAGCATGGGTTCTACTTCAAAGGATAATTGAACCGTATTGTAACTGTATAAGTAAAAGCCAAAATAGCATCATGTGAGGCAAGCCTCCCCTTTCTTCGCTGCAGTATTCCAGCTTCGCAGCAATATCCTAATGCGGCCTGCGTACCTGATATTCGGCAGGGAACGGAATGGTTAAGACTTGAGGAGACTAATTACTATATGGAACTGAACCCAAAAAGTTCCTTCCAGGAAGCAAAGCTTTATTAGCATCTAACCATACACTTGGCGTAAGGTCGTTTGGTCCAAAGGGCGCGTCTGGATTGCTCCAGGGATTCGGGTAGGATTCGGTATGATCAATCAGCCCTTGGGCCCATCAATCTGAATGAAAGTTGTGGATTCATCTCGGGCAGTCCAAAACGCACCTCACCATTGTCAAAGAACACATCACTCCATGAAACTCTTCTAGACGCCGCCTTTTGGCACCGAGCAATGTTACCTAGTGTCAATCCCAAATCAGTCGCGTATCAAAGCTACAACAAGAAACACTTTCGCTGGAGTCATGGCCCCCTTGGAAGACAATGTTTCTCTACAAACAAATGGTTTTCCACTTCCATGACTATTCCAGGGAGTGTAAAATGTAACCTCTTTACGCTGGGGCACTCTTTCCTTGCAAAGATGTAGGCACCGCCTGCATAAGTCATAATGGCTGAAAGCCCGAAGCGTGCACGAGTCCCAAAGAGGGCCCCCAATTCCAGGTCAAAGACCTCGGATGGCACGGATGGCTGACTTGAGTTGGTGGAGTCGAAAATCAAGTGGTTGACTGGCTGGCCAACTGTGCCTTTTTCCGCGTTTGTTCCTGTCTTTCTTGCAAGCAAGCGAGTTCTAAATCAAGCATCGAACCATGAACTGCTTAAAAGAAGCCTGGACGACCCACAGGCGGTATCAAACGATCCATTGCGGGGTTTTCCGATGTGACACATCGCGGAAAAAAAGACTTTTAAGACTAAGTAGAGAAGCAAAACCCCCCAACATCCCAATGGCCCACCGTATCCATCACACCATCCACCGAATCCAGCACCCCCTCTCTCGAGCAAAAAACAACTCTCCCGACATGGCGCCTCCATGGTGGCTTCCCGGAAGATCTCTACCCGGGGAGCTGTTACATCCTGGGAGGCCGTCGTTTCAACGACGTCACGCGAAAACGGGGACCTGAGGACATGGGTGAGTATTTAAATAGGGAGAACCCCCAGGGACCCATGGACTACCAATTGGTTGGGGAACACCCCTGTTCTTCCACATCCACGTGGATACCCGGATTTGCTCCGAGAGGTCCAATGTCTTCACACCTGTACCAACAAATAACGGACGGAAAAGACATTCCTCTCCAAGGCGACAGGAAAAAGCAACAAACATGAAGAGGATCAGGAATAATTAGATAGGACAATTTAGGAAAATATAGGAAAGTTATGTTAAACAAAAACATGTGTTGGAAGGGAATACTTCCAAGCAACACTCAGGATTGAAACTAACAACCACACCGTTTTGCACACACCGTTTTGCAAAAAAAATATAACTACGTACCCTGAACGTTCAGCCCGCCGCAGCTGCAGTAGTTGCGTACCCACCGGGAGACGTCGACGATGCGGTCGACATCATTGTTGACGTCCAAAATATCACCCAGTCCATCTCCACAGAGGGGAGGGAGATGAACCGGGATTCCAAGAGACTAAGTAGAGAAATGCATTGCTACTAGTAGCTTCATGTTTGGCATCCAACCTAATAGCGTTGGCCTCCAACCTAGGAGCTTCTTGTTCCTAATAGCGACGGCCTCCAACCTAGCTTCTTGTTTCATACATTTCTGCCCTGCGATTCCAAGAGACTAAGTCCAAGTGATTGAAGGCAATGGCTTCCACGTGCCGCCGCAGCTGCGCTGGCTCATGCGCGGAGCCCACAAATTGGCCTCAGCTAGGGGGGTCAGCCATGCCGAGCCATGCTGTCGGTCTTTCCAATGAGATAGCTTAGCAGTGGATCTAGGTGGCGCACTCTTCGAGTAGTTTTGTGATGTGATGTGGGCTGTGAGCGAACGATTTGCAAGAAGCATAAAGAAGTTATACTTTGCTATGTTGGAACTAGATGTGCACATTCAAGGAAACAACTACAACAGAACAAGAACCACGTCTTTGTTTACTTTGCACCAAGTGGCTTATACCTGCCAAGATCCTCAGGCCCATAGTAGCTCGGGGTGCCTGGCCACTATTTTCCAGATCATATGTGGTCCCGCACAGCTACCGTTTCCTATGCTCCATGGTTTTCTAGGCTTGCCACAATGAAGTAAATAATCACTGTAGTCTAAGTCCAACTAGAATATACAAAGATAACTAGACTCTAAATCGTCCATCGCGGAGGCCACAACATCAATTCTTTTCAGTCAAATGCATATTGGTTTCAATTGAGATACCTTTAGACTGGTAGAGAGAAGACAAAAGGTGAAAACAATGGAAAGGAAAACAAACCTATATAGCTAACTGTATGAGTTGGCTTGCCTGACACATACCTGCCCCTCTCCCAACCCCTCACCAGCCCCCCGTGGCCCCGCCCGAAACATGCCCTGCAAGTTCGGTGCCGCATCGAAAAAGGCACCGTAAATGGAGTCCGCAGCGCCTGGAGTCGGTTTGCTGTACGGATGTGGAAAAGGAATCGATCTGTGTCCTTCGCCCCTTTTTAGACGGAACACACAGAAAGGACATCTGTGTCTTCGCAAATGGTTCCGGGGCTTTGTTCAGCGGTTCGGTGGCTTGGTGCAGTTTCTGAAGAACTTCCTCAATGTCTCAAAGCCACATTGACACGCTTCCTCCAAGCCTTCTTTTCGTTCGAAGACCCCGACGAAGGAGTCCCAAGCTTTTTGGGTGGATCGAACCACCTGGCACGAAGAAACATGGAGCACGGACGGGAGCAGCACAAAGAGCTCGATCTGCAAGGGATCCATCACTGGATCCATCTGAAGACACTTCCTAGGATTTCCTAGGATTCTTCATCAGGGATAATCCCGAGTACCTATTAAAAAACGGCACCCAATCAAAAAAAGTCATGTCGGACAACCCTAAATACGGCTTATATATTTGTTTTTAAATTACCGCCCTTTCAAGCCGCTACTAAACTACCAACATGGCCGATTTTGGAGGGTTTTTTCTTATTAGGTTCCAAAAGCAACCGTAACTACCCACCTCTGTCCGCCCTGTCTATCCACCATGACACGCCGCGCTTACACCAACAGGCTTTCCTTCCCCCAATGGCACGGACTCACGCAAACGCACTTGCCACCGAGGTCATGCAACACCGCATGGCACAGCGACATCACCTTTCGAAAGCTTTAGCTGTTAGTCTACTGAAGAATCACTATTCTAATGAAGGTTTGGTAGGGGAAAAGGAAAAGACCCTTCGATCTGGAGGTTTTTTGCATTTTTGATACGCGTTTAATAACGGATTCTATATAAACATTTCCTGGATTACTTTTTGGTTCCAGGTGACCCTATTTTGGACCCTCCGATTTCAGGGACCCCCTATTAGAAAAAATGCGACCGAGGTTTCCTTATTATAGGGGGGCCCTCGTGTTTTTTAAGGGATTAATCACATCATCTGTAATTCACTGGGATTGCCGTGGATTTCGGCAGTTCTTGTCGCCATCATGCCGGGTACCATCATCAGCACAACTTGGGATGAGTTGAGGTAGATGTTCGGACAGGCCCACAAGTTTGTTCTTTATTCCATATCATATCAGGCATATCAGTGATTTTCAGGTTCCAAAGGTCTTTGAGTTGACGTTGGAGGAGCAAATCCCATTGGTGCCTTGTTGCAACAAGCACACGTGCAAGTCATGAGTCTCACAACCTTGGCCACTGTTTGTGCACATAGAGGAGTGTGCACCTAAGGAAGATGCCCTGTCATGAGTCACGAGGGTCTTTCACGATGTTCTAATTGCTCATGCTGCTTGCTCCTCTCAGCTGGCGGCGCAAAGCTCTCGCGCGCCCGCGCAAGTTTCGGGCCTTCGGGGGTAGCTGGAGCTCCTCGAAGCTCTTGTCATTCACGGTCATCAGCTGTTTCAACAACTCCAACTCCTAAGAGGGGGTCAGTTCCGAGGTGGCGACTGAGATCTGGTGATCACCTCATCAGCAAGCTCCGACCTCCTCCGACCTCCTAGAGGGTGGCCATGACTCTCCCGCCATGGGCCCTGGACGCCCGGCGGAGGATGCTTCCCCGATTGATGTGCGAGTGAAGTCTGTGCCTGGAGATAACTTCTTAATTAGGAGATTTGGGGCAATTCATGGATTTCCACAGAACATTTTGCCAGACGCACCGGCATCATGTACGAGGGTGTAGGGAAGGTGTCGGGACCTCTACTGCCAATATACTCAATATCTCGTACGCTCTCCAAGCATCATCATCACCGGGTTCGGAGTCTGCCTCGTCGCTATCCGGATCCTGCATAGTGATCATATTTTGAGAACATTTGGGGGAACTTCCCCGGAGCCCTCGTGAGGTGCAAATGCCAGTCAGGCCTGCGGCCTTGAGGTGATCACGATAGGACCTGCCGTGTTTGGGGGAGCCAAGGGCTGGTGCACGATATGATCAAACAACAATTGTGGGCTGCTGATTCTCAGAAACTCAAACTTTCAAAGATGCCCCCCCGGGCTATAGAGAAAACTGTACACCTGCCCAGTCTTTTGAAGGAAAAGGACACATCAAATGCGGTTGCAGAACCACCAGCTAGTCTCCTGCCAACCAGAAAAAAATAGGTGATGTTAGGGAACTTCTCTTGGCCAGGACCACCCTGAGATAGGGTGTGGCACAGCGGCATTGACTACTGACACAGCGGATGGACTGTTCAGCTAATCACCGATGTCCTCGGAGTCTGGCTCTTCCGACTCCGTGTCTTCCTCGTATTCGGACGAGTTGGCATTCTCATTGTCTGCCATATCCGTGCCTCTGCAAAGATCAGGCATGGTTGTACTGAAGCAAATCAGTCATACATCAACATACAGTCATCCTGAAACAAATAGAATAGTTAATAGTTATATATAAAGGTGGGAAAACATGAAAGATTGATGTCGGTGTCCGCCATATTCATCGTTCAGATTGAGGGGGATGAGGCCTTTCAGCATTAGTCTGGAAACAACATATACTCATATACTTATGAATATATATTGCCCACAATGTGTAGCCAAACCCAGGGGCGACCAGGGGCCCATGAGGGTCTCTCGTGAACAGAAACAACGGAAAGCAGCTTTGTTCGGACAGCAGGGACGGCCGCTTGCGAGCAACCAAACAATATATATTCAACATTATTCAAATGTGGCGTTGAAGCCCCGAGCAAGGTTTAAAAATATCTGAACCCCTTTTGGAAACCATGCAACTCAAATTCAGTCAATGAAGCAAAAAAAAGGCTAGGCTAGGTCTGCTCTTGAGGTTGATCCCAGGACATTTGATTTCGAGTCTTCAATCTATACAGTACTCTTCAACGCCACAAACATGCAGCTCATTTCATAACACAAAATAACACCAAGCTCCACTTTTTCTCCACTTGACCGACGGGTGAGCGCAAAAAGCGCTCCAAAGCTCCACCCACGAAGCGAGCTCGCGGTCCGGTCCGGTCCACCTCTTTGAACACGGAGCTTCTTCGGTCCACCAGACCGCTGCAGACCGTTGAGCCAAAACGACGTGAGACGCAGCCGGACCAAGGTGAGATGGCGCAGCCGGGTTCGTCTCCCCGCACCGCAGCCCGAACGGTCCAGCGTGGAGGCAACATCGGAAGAAGTCCCATGCGACTGCAACACCAACAACATGTTCAACGGTCCATCTTTTCATGTTTTGGGTGTAGGTCCCAAAACCCCCAAGAGGTTTCAAACCCTTTCCAAGTCGACCTCTGGTTTTGACCCCCAAAGCCAGTTGTTTTCACCTGTTCTACCGAGGGATGACTGGGATGCTCGGCCTTGGCCTCTGCGGCCTCACGATGAGACCGCTCCACCTGGAGCTGCCGAGCAGCCGACCTTGGGAGGAGCCCAAGAGAAGCAGCTTTTACATCGTTTTTCCAAGTCCAGAAACCGGGTGGTTCATGGAGTTTTCCATGAGTCTCTTGGTGTCACATGGTGTTTTCCGTTAGTTTCATGCTGTTTCATGGTGTTTCTGTGTGATTCACCATGAGTGAGTTTGATGGATTTGGGATGCGCTGATGGAGCAAGGAGGCGCACAAGGCGTCCTGGAAGACTGATGCAACGTTGGAGGAGTGCGAAATTAAGAGCTAGACCAAGCAGAATACGCAGCTTAGGTTTTTGAGGATTGGGCAGTCCCTTCCATCCACGTGTGCTTTATGTTTGTATCTCTTTCCCTCTCTTTCTTGTATTTTTCCCTCTCTTTCTCTCTCTCTCACTCTCTCTCTCTCTCTCTCTCTCTCTTAATGATTCTCCCATCAATTGTGATTGGCCCCCAAAGAAATTATACAACAAAGAACGACCATGAGGAACCTTGCTTCCCATGAGGATTGAGCATCGGAAATTTTGTTCGGACGGTTGGAAAAACATCGTTCATAGGGCTCGTTGTTCTGATACATTAAGAAGAGCTGCACTATACCATAGGTGACATATGGTGACATGGACATTGGTCTCGCAAAGGAAACATGTTCAATAGATGTTTTAATTGGGTTCTAAGGTGGCCTGCAAGGCTCTGGTAATTAGTACTTAGTACTTGTTGTACCTTATTTAGCCCCTGCTCTTTGCTGACAGCTGGGCCTCAGCATTTGACGGAACTGGAGATCGCTACGCCCTGAGGCTGTCTGTCTTCGTCAATGCCGGCCGACTTGCAGTCACCTGCCTTTTTGCTGCTGTGTAAGTTTTGTTGGTGAAAGGTCTTCATTTGGCCTTTGGATCTTCTTTTGGATCTGCCTTGGGCTGAATTCCCAATGACTCAAACACAGCCTTCCGAGTAATAGCTGTGTTCTCCTGGCCATCAGGCAATGTGGTTTGCATGGCCAAAGCTTTAGCAGGCCTCGGCTCCGTTGCCAAGCAATTGTACACCCCCTCCCCAAATTTACCCACCTTTCCAAACATTTTGTTTGGCAAAGGCTCGGTTTTGAAATCACTCCGTTCACAAGCCTGCAATGAACACTTTCCTTCAACTTTTCCACATTTCATGGAAAGATATGGGAGAGCTCGACCAAAAGGGTTCTCGCTGGGCGCCTTTGCTGCAGACGAAATCACACAAAGGCCACTCTCATTCTCTAACGTGCATTCACGAGGGAAGCATGCACATTCCTTTGGACCAATAGCGTTCCAGGCAAAAAAGGCTGCCCCGATCCTTGGATGGCTTGATCGAGATACCGATACCCCTTATATAAATTAAAAGAAACACACAGATTCACAATACTTAGGGATGTTTGATGTTTCCTTGGAGGTTGCGGAATTTGCTTCTCGATTTCCAAGAAAATATGCATCCGGTCCAGGCATCGAAGAAGATGGCATGGTCGCCAGTGCAAATTCCACTCCGAGGCTGAATCCCGCGAGCATGCCGGCCGGACCTCCTGGAGGCCATCAGGGCAACGCCGCAGTCATTGCATATGTTCAAGTATCATGCCACTTGACATGTTTGACATGTAACACATGTTCAGAGGCACAGTTTTCGGATGCCACTTGAGATGAGAAGTTCATCTGGCCCAAAATGTAAAGTGGCACGTGGTGATTTGTATTGTGCTCCAGCATGAAGTAGCCGCAGCCTTGTCTTTTGTGATGTTGTGGATGGTCATGTGGTGCTTTGTGAAGTCTCGTGTGGCATGGTACGCTGTGGTGCGCGGTCAAGTGGTGTGAGTGGTGATCTCTGATGTGGTTCGGTGTAGTGATGCGGTGAAACGGAACATGGTTCTTGTGCATGCGAATGCGTGTGCTATTTGTGATGTTGTGAGAGTGGTTGTAGTTGTAGCACAACCACACCAACAACAACAATCCTGCTCAATTCACACGAAGCGAACAGTATCGTTCCAGACTCCTAACCCCGAATCTACAAGGCTCAACGTCAAGCTAAGCACATCATTGCTTGTGCGCACACGACAACACAATGTCAATCTCCAGACTCCTACAGACCTCCAGATTTCGGAACGCCCTCCTCGTAGCCCGCTCACACGCTACCCGGCCTGAAATGCCCATGATGGCCCCGACCACGCCAAAGAGTAGCATTCCGGATCCCGAGGCGCCAAAGCGGCCGATGACGAACCACTTGGCTCCCTCCTGCGCACAGCACTGGATTTGTGGATTCCGCATAGCACTGCGTTGAATCAGCAAAGTGACAAATTTGAAGACCTGTGAAGGTGTTAGCTTCCTTTTGGAGGGAAACTCTGTTCGGTTAGAACGGGGTGCGCCGAAGAGCTCTTCAAACACTTTTGCCGCAGAACAACAGAGCGTGTTTTGCCCGTTCGATTTTATTGCAAATGCCTGTCGTGTCAATTAATATATTTTTTCTTTGCCCCATTATGTATATAAACGCAGTGCATTTGAAGAAACACGGAACACGGAAACACGGAACACACCCAAAAACCCTTCAGCTTAAAGACAACATGTCCTGTAATGTTGCTGCATTCAGTCACTTCATCCCGTCGTGAAATGCATGAGCCTAAGGGTTCGGTTGACGAGCGAGCCGGAAAGATCTTTCTACACAAAATTGAATTGAAGGATCAGTTGAGGACAATGTGGGGCCTGTGGCCAAGCAAAATATTGCATGGTTTGAATGTTCAATATACCTTGACGCTTCCAACATGTTTCTCGTATACATATCTAAAACTCAGGCGAGGCAACCAGTTTGGGACCATATTCCAGTGTATGTATCGCGAACATGCACGAACGCAACAACCATGCAACAAAAACAGGGGAAAAGAAAAGGGACACTGAACAAAATATGGTCAAACGACGCAGGCATTTCATATCCAACGATGCACGCCAATAAAGAATCCATCCATCAGCGAGATCTCCCAATCTTTGAGACACGGCCGCATCTTTATATATTGTTGATAAAGTATATATCGACACTACATACAAAGCGAGGAACCCTGACAACACTGCCATTGTACGAGTATCACAAAGGATCCAAAGGAGAGATCGTAGAGCTGGCAAAACAACAGAGCTTTGTTGTTGTTGCTGTTGTTGTTTGTTGTTAGTGCTCAACATTGTTGTCACATGTTGCAACTCCGGAACTGCAACGGAACGGGATACGGTTGAAGGTTCAAGGGTATGTTGGATTTGTATGTAGCTGGGACTTGTTGGACTTGTTTCACTGATGTGTAGTTTGTGGGGGTTGTAAAAAAAAGAAACAACGGGGCTGCAGTCTTGGTTTCCAGGAGGGGGCAAAGACAACCGCACCTTTCTTCGTGATGAAAAACACAATAACGGGGCTCCAGTCTTAGTTTCTAGGATCTTCAAGCACCACGAAAATACCAATGCTAGAAAGAAACATTGGCATGCATGCTCTGGATGGGGGAGGGTTCAGCTTTGACCCATGCACGACAATGACCACCAAAACCACCAGGGTGATGCACATGCATTGCCTCCACACCGCCAAAGTGCATTATGCCAGCTTGTGTCAACCACCACCAACAACAACCACAACAACCCGCCTCCTCCTACCATCTCAGCCCGCCAGGTGAAAAGGGCAGGTGGGGCAGTCTGTCTGGGAGGGGGCTGTGGGGATCTCCTACTGGTACTACTAATACTACGAGTACTACTAGTACTATATGATAATACTACTCGTTACTAGTATTACTACTGCTACTACTCCTACTCCTCTGACTACAATCCCGACTACAGTGGTACCCCTTAAAGTCTGAAAGGAAATCAAAAACAATCAACACATATCGAATTTAATGACATCTATGCCATCGCTGCAAACATGTGGTCCTGAAGATTGATCTCCCGGCCGCTCCGGGGTGCAGTCCCTTCGGGGCAATAGCCCTTGCCTCATACAACACTAAGCGCACCGGCGATTGACTTTGGTAGACAACTCATGCAATCAATGAGCCCACTTGTGGTACTTCATCTTAAGTCCAAATGAAACGCTTTCTGCAACATTGACTTTCCTTTCACTCACACTACAAAAGAAGGGTCATGCTTATTAGAAGCTAGAAATGCGACGTGAACATGCAGCCAAATTTTGCAACATAGACCTTACACCCACGCGCTCATACACAAAGATTGTGAAAATATGATGATTCTCGACCGGGTGTAACAGAATGAATCTTCCCAGCAATTGACTGAGAGTTTATGAGGATCACATACAAACATAAATCCATCCAACACAAAACCTGTTGACTCAGTAGCACTGTCCAAAGTAGGAAGAAATCTGTGGTCGAGTCCCCATACCTTTGCAATCCTCTGCGACATGAAGCGAACCCAGAAACAAACAGTGGCAAAATCTTAGTGGCCTCCCCAAAGACTCTATGCCTCGCCCTCAGTTGAAGATACTTCAAGGCTCTGGTGATATCCGGGCGCCAAAACATGATTCAATAGGACATGGAAACATGATATCCATACTGTACCTCATCTGGCTGAGGTGCTCTCATCCTCCTCGCAGTTCAGCAGCGAGGACTTGGTGACCCGCATCTGCTTTCCGATGAACTCCAAAAATTGAGCGGTCTTCTCCTAGCGCTGACGCCAACGAAAACACACGAATTCGTTCATCTTCGGTCTCTATACAGGTCTCTACGATCCCATAGAACTCAGGTTTCTCATGAACCATGTATGATTTGGACACGCCTCAGCATCCGGTTGACCCAATATCTCCCTTGCATTCCATCTGCTGAGTTGTTGCTCTTGAAAAAACTTCTGTCATTGGGGGGAAATGCAAAGGTGCCAAGACTGATCTCGCCTCTGTCTCCTTTTTGCAACTCTTCTTTAACCTGAGTTAGGCGCTCATCGGAGCAGTCACTCATCATGGCCTCTTCCTGAACTTAAGAGCAAGTTCAGAAGTGAACAACACATGTTGCATGTCACAAGTCACAAGGACATTTCTTCATTGGGACGGGTGGTGATGCGTCTCTTCCTCCATCATGCTCTTTGTCATCGTGTCTTCTTCCCAACTTCCCACCGATTCTGCCGAGGTGCTTGCTCCATTTGATCCCAGCCTTCTTCAATTGCGCATCAGACTCCTCAATGGGCATCTCGCGGCGTGTTTTGTGCGCACCCGACGAACCCACGCTTTGCTGGTTTTGGGATGCAACATCTCCTCCTCAGCAAAAGCTTTCAGATCAAAAGCTGAAATTATCACCAGTGTGTCCTGCAGCGTTTTCTTGGCGGCTTTGAAGATTGGCGACGCTTTGGACACCAGTTTTGACATGCGGCCCCGGCTGTCATGCACCAGCATGTCCTGCCAATGACACGATCGTTTGAACATGCAATATGGTGCACATGTATCATCACAAGATGCCGCAAGTTGCTGTGGAAGCAAGGCTCAGGTCAATGCATTTCTTGCCTTATCAATACACCACATACATGCACACATGCAGTGAATCGATCCATGTCACGTTCTTGATGTGGTGTTTTGTCCATGCTCGTGCTTCATGCTATATAGATTACTTGTCATTGCTATTGCTGAAGCGTGCTTTCTGCTTCTAATCTTTCTTCTCCTACATAGTAGGACAAACCGAAACCACTGTCCACCGCCATTCGTGGCTGAGGGTTCAGGGTTATATACCCAAGTTTGTCTGGCGAGTATGAACCAAATCTGACACGCCCCCATATGCGTCCGCGCGTCGTCCTCAGCATCTAACTTTTGCTGGATAACATCTTTCAGGCCATCGGTAACATTTTCCATCAAACCTGGCTGTTTCAACACCATACCCAGAACTAGAGGTTACAGTAATTATTAATGTGTCCTACATGAGGGAATTTGCTTAAACTTGGGCTTACTCATACGTAACAACCCACGGCTGACGAGGTCAACCCTTTGGAGACAAAAACCATGAAGCGTCATGAAACATGTGTGGAGCCTTCCTGTCAGCCAATCTTGGAGCCTTCTTCACAACACCCAAGAGCCACTCAGAGCCACAGCGCTGAAAGCATAGCCAAAGGGAGTCACCAGCAGTGGAATGATGCCTAATGGAAGTGTTGGAAAAGCCTTGAAAAGCCTTCGTTGTTCGAGCATGGCCGTAGCCAAGCCCTTCACCTTGCCCCAGACCTGTGGAGAAGACATGTCGAAACTCACCAATGGGCTCACCAGTTTCAAGAGAAGAATCACTGGGAGTGGTAGCTCACAACCAGGGCACAAGCATAGCTGTCTTCATCCTCGCGGTCTTTGCACCGCTCGTTCGCTGCTTGGTATATAAAGCCCATTGAAGCTAGCTTACTACGGATCTGCTTCAAGTCCTGGGCGAACTTCTTCTGGACCTACCACAGGGAAGCCGATGGAAGAAGCCGATGGAAGACACCCACAACATCCCACAACCTGTAACAAGGTCCGCTTTTCTGGGCCTACTAGGCTGTAGGTCGTTACTACTTGCCTCACTTTGGCGGATGTATCCATAGACCTTTTGCTGCCGGCTAAGGCTTTCCTTAGCCACTTGGAAGTTTGCGAAACCCCAAAATGGAACAAACAGAAAACTGCAAGGCCAACTTTTGTTCACTACTCACTCTGCTTGAGTGTGTACGTTTGACTTTCCGGGGAGGGAACTCTGAAAACTTGTCCACATCAAAGATCCATGATGTTCTTCCAGCATTCTGTATGCATCTCGGAAACAAAATGAACTTACCAATTTGCCAGGTAAGCTTCCCAGTGATTCGATTGGGCATCCTCGAATTCTTCCAGCACCACAACATCTTCCAGAAGCTTTGTCTGCAACTCGTCGTTCCAACTGACACAAAGGTGCCAAACCAAAATTTGCCAATCAAATGGCCAATCAAGTAATCAATGACTGCATATATGATAAGTATATAAATGATTGGTACATATCATTTAATTTCAGTCAAACCACGTCAAACCCTAAAATCGTACAACTTTGCGATGTTAAATCCCTGTGGACATGCACTTATATGTTCATTATTATTGTCTATTCATTTACACAGCTTTGTTAGTTGCATTTCACACACAACATGTTGCCGATAGGATGCTCTTCTTGTTTATGTTTACATCTTGGCATGCGGCCTTTCTATCCGGGATCACCATATTCTCATGGGTGTTCATCTAGTAGCAAGAAGCTATTAGGTTGGAGGCCATCGCTACTAGCAGCCCAAAGCTGCGGGAGGTCGTGAAAAGCATGCGGCCTTTCCATCTGGGGTCACCATATTGAGACTGGGTTTCACAAGGTTGTTGCGAATTGACCAGTCTCACAACATTGCCATCGCCACCATTGCCAAAAAGCTAAATGCCAGGATGTTGCACCTGCTGAATCAAGTGAACCCCAGTGGCCCTTCAGGGTTCAAACCTCCTTGATCGAGACTACTTGAATTTGTCGCTCAAAGGAAAACAATGAAAAACAACCACTGCCCCTGTTTTTCTTTCTTGGCTGGTGGATGATTCTTTGTGTTTACAATAATATTCTACAACGTCTTGGTATGCACCATGAACATAACGATCACAAACCTTGGTAAACGAAAACATTGTCTATTGCAATGTAAGCACTTGTGAAATATTGTTGAAAAAAACACATGCACCTTCCACCAAAGCGCTTGTAGATCTTTCCAAAGCCCATGGCCTTCTCCTAGACAGATTGGCAGCCCAACAACTCCAAGGCAGTGTTAAAGATGGTGTGACAGGTGTGACCCCTAAAGCCTTCTTCAAAAGCAAGAAGGTCCCCCATTCTGAGGCCCCCCAGTCTGATGCCAATACCTTCTGTGTATCAATTGGGACCCAAAAGCCCAACTCTCGCAACTCTGGCAGGTTCTCATCCAGGGCTCCAGGATGCAGTCGCGAATTAGTGCTTTGTGCGCTTCTTGTTTGGCATCTGGAGCATCAACGCCTGCGAACTGTGATTGGGCGAGCATGTCCGATTGTGGGTTTCATGTTTGGAGGCTGGCTAGTTACCCTTTTGGTGCATAATACGCTTCTGATGAACTGGAAAACCGTGGAAGCACATTTTGTGGGATCCCACTGCCACGAAGAACAGTCATCGTCAACCGAGTTTCGATCGACTTCGGCACGGTCCGTGGCTGTCGGGCCCGGAAGGGTGTCGAGAGAGAAACTCATTTCTCACTCTGCGGAAACCCTGTGACCGGTCGGTGCATTACTCGCCCCAGGGCTGTCACCTTTAGCGCATCCGGTTATGTAAAAATATGGCACAAACCATGCATCTCTCTTAAAACCTGGTGAATTGGCCCGCAAGAGCTCTTTGCTTGAGACTTCACGACTACATACGACTGCCTAGTTGTAAGTGTAGTCACAATGGGCGGGCCACCATGGTGGTCTTTCGGTCTGGAAGACTCAGGAAGACCAAGGATCAACAATTGTCAAGCACAGAGTGTGTTGTGATTGCTTGAATGTTTAACTGACATATGAATTCTTGTCCCTTCATCTGCATGGGCATTCTGCAACACATGCCTGAATCTCACCTGTTTAGTCCAGCATGGAACCGTAACCTTGATTTTGCCATAGATGCCACGTTGGGGGGAATTGTGTGTTGCCGGGTTTATAGCCTCCCCTGAGCGATGAGATGCCATGAGACAAGCGCTTTGTGAGAGCTCTTCTTTGTGGATTGCAAATACTCGGGTGGAATTCCCCCAGCCATCCCCAGCCAGCCCCGCACCAGCCCGCAGCACCTTCTTCTACTTCATTGTGACTCTCAAGCGCACTCGTTCCAGCCGCTGGATTCTGAATGATCTCTGTGGGTGGCAAGACACCATTGAGATCCTTTCTGCCCAGGTCCAACTGAATGCCACCCCGCCACCCCCGTATCGTAAACAAACTCTCCACAACAGGGTCCAACTACAGCTACAGGCCAAGGTTTCCCAATTCACCGCTTGAAAGCACCAACCATTTTATAGATGATCGGAAATGCGTTGTTGACAAAAGAACCATCTTAGGGATCTTAGGGTTCTATTGGGTGCTGGACACGCTGAGGATTTGCCACTGTGTAGCACGGATGGTGAACCATCATAGGGTAAGCCTCGCCCGCTAATGCCCGTTAGCAAAACACACAGGTTTCAGTATTGTTCATACATACCGACACTGTGGATGCAATACATCTTCTACATCATATCCCTGCGACCGCCCTCAATCTCTCCTCCCGCATTGCGTCAACATGGACAAGAACTAGTGCAAGCTGCACAAACAACGGCAACATGGCTCAGGCGGAGCACTGCCGAAACCCTGAGCTATCAGGATTACCTTGACCCACAAGACATGCCGGCCACTACTATCTCCTTGTTTTTACTCGGCAAGAAAAATCAACACCTTAAGAAGGAGCTACTAGTAGCTTCTTGTTCCTAGTAGTAAGAAGGCTACTAGTAGTGATGCCAGGAGCCCCTAGTAGCGTCTTACTCTCCACGTCAAGACCTCGCGTGGCGCAGGACGGCCGATCTCTTCCGCCGTTACGCACGGGGTTCCCAGCGCTCTGCTTCGGGATCACGGAGTTTCGGGATCGACCCGTCGAGACCCGTCTGAGACGACAAACGGTCTGGGTCGATAAACAAACACACCGAGGAAGCACAATCAGTTTTGAGTTCAGGATCCGCAGGCCACCCACGGGTCTCCACGTTTGACCTCTTTTGACCACCAGATGGTGGATTCTCAGGAAATTTATTTCCCTTGTGATTGTGTGCTTGAACCTTTTTTCCATCTTTATAGTTACCCTTTCATCCGATTCGCCCTTTGGATCATTTTGGTACCCAAACAAACGAAGCACCGGGAACTTCACAGGAGGTTAGACGCTTGGCAGTATCACTAATTTGATTTTGCAGAACGCATGGCAAAGACCCAAAAACCTTGTTGCAAGGGCAACAGGCAATGGTGGGTTAGAAGTGCTGGGGCACGAGCTCTGTTTGCGAACTAATTGATGCAATGCCAGCCACACACTATTGATCGTAGCTCACGGGAGGATTGGTGGAACCTTCATCCACGGTCTCACCATGCAGCTCAAAATCGCTTTTTGCGAACATGGCTTTTCCTTCCGTTTTCTCAATTCTTGAAACAATTTGCCCGTTAAGATTGATTGACACAATCAGTCAGTTTCCTGAGGATTGAGTGTCACAAGTTTTGACTTATGACTCTCCCAAATATGTGTATAGGAATGAGCATGGCTTATGAGTTGCAGGGCTCTAGAAGAAGAAGTAGAGCCAGGCCATATTGTATTATATATATAGTCTATTACTAATTATATGTACAGTATATTGACGGATATGCGAAAAGTACACCCAAGCTGTAACAGCTAACATAGACCACAGCTATAGAAAACTATATGCACATTGGTTTTGCATCGGACAAGTAGTTGAGTTCCATTGTTGAGTTCCATTGGTTTTCTTTCAGCTTAGCTTCTATGGTAGTCTGGGGTGTCATATTTTCGGTTTGCCCATGTTTGACAACTGGGCCTGGACATTTAACAGAACCGGAGATAGCTATGAGTACAAGTCTGGCTGCACGTGCCCTTCAACAAAGGGACATCGCGGGGTTGTCCAACCAATCAAACATCCATCACCGGCATGTTTAAAAGAAACATGTGCACCAATCAAGCCAACAAAATCACACTTGATCGACTGAACAGTCTCTAGGTCCCTACGCAGGTTTTCCACTTCCTGCAACAATTTCATGTGATTTGATGGGCCGTCCCAGGCAACAAAAGCCTGGCATCAACATTCATGAGGCAGTTTCGGTCAATGTCGGCCGACTTGCAGTCACCTGCCTTTTTGCTGCTGTGTAAGTTTTGTTGGTGAAAGGTCTTCATTTGGCCTTTGGATCTTCTTTTGGATCTGCCTTGGGCTGAATTCCCAATGACTCAAACACAGCCTTCCGAGTAATAGCTGTGTTCTCCTGGCCATCAGGCAATGTGGTTTGGATGGCCAAAGCTTTGCCGGGCCTCGGCTCCGTTGCCAAGCAATTGTACACCCCATCCCCAAATTCACCCACCTTTCCAAACATTTTGTTTGGCAAAGGCTCGGTTTTGAAATCACTCGGTTCACAAGCCTGCAATGAGCACTCTCCTTTTATTTTGCCACATTTCATGGAAAGATATGGGAGAGCTCGACCGAAAGGGTTCTTGCTGGGCGCCTTTGCTGCAGAGGACATGACGCAACGTCCACTCTCTACCTTGTTGCACTCACGAGGGAAACATGCACATTCCTTTGGACCGATAGCATTCCAAGCGAACATGGCCGAACCGATCCTTGGATCGCTGGATCAAGATACCTTTCAAAATCAAATATTCAAAGTGATGCACCCTTTTTGATTCCAGAAAGGTATGCACATGTATGCACTACAGGCCCCAGTTTCTCAGCACACTCTTGAGTTTGTAGAGTTTGCCTTTAGACGTCGAAACAAGAAAAAGTACATCCTTTCTTCCAGGCATCGAAGAGGATGGGATGGTCATCTGTGCAAGTCCCACTCCGAGACTGAATCCTGCAATCATGCCCGCCGGGCCTCCTGCAAGTAATCAAGCAACACCACACGAGTCTCGCTGCATGCGCGGGGTATTTATGATCATAGGATCCCCGTTTTGCCGTGTCTATTCTTAGCTCCCGAGAGGCTAGAGGTGATTCGTGGTTTTTAGGTGTGGAAATCGCAGAGAAAGACGTGGCACCAATAGGATTCTACGGAAGAACAAGCTTCTCATGTAAAATACGTCGAGAGGCACGACTTTCCGCACGCCTACGTAACAACACATGGTCTGGGAATAAATGAATAGACATAACATATTGATTATTGCTATCGTGTTGTATTCAAGGGGACATCTCTCCCACACGGCCAAAACCTAGATTTGTTTGCATGGTGTCAAGCTGAATCGAACAAAGCAAAATTGTTCCTATAAGAACACACCAAAAGAATGCTGTTTACCAAACATGTTTGCTAAGCATGCTTGCTAAGCATGTTTGCCGAACATGTGGTGTTTATCAGTGATGAACAAAGGCCCTGATGAGTTTCATCTGTTTCCAATCTAACACAGCTGAACAGGGGAAGGGTTACAACCCTGCAACAGCCTTAGTTTGGAATTCGATGCATAGCGGCCGCGGAAAAGGTACTTTAAACACAATATAGCAAATCCCAATAAATCCCAGACATTTCCATGCATTAGTTGCATTTACCCCATTTAGACCCCCATGTAGGTGATTTTGTGGCGAGGTGGACCATTCACTGAAGCTGAACTGGAGCTTGAAGTGGCGTCATGATGGGCACACTCGAAGCAATCGTGGGCCCCGAAAGGATGACCATGACATACAAATGCCAAGCAGGTGGTGCCATCCACTTTCATGATGTCAGGGAAAGTATGTCATCCTTTGTGATCTTGTGGATGGTCATGTGAGGGCAGGTGTGACCAAGAACACGTGAAGTGCAAAGCGGTGAAGGCATGTCCAAAGGCAAAAAAACAACACAGCCTCTCGACCTGTTCAAACACGCATCGCAGAACCCCATGGCACAGCGAAATCCATGACGTCGCTTCGCGCACGCGCATGCCACAGCACACCCACAGCTTACAGGGCCGTTGTTCGCAACTCAGTGGACACCTTATATGATCTTATATGTTTGTCAGATGCAAAACTACACAACGTATTCTACCGAACTGCGAGCCAAAATTGAAAGCATGTGCAAACCTCACGCAACACCTCAAGCAAAGAACTCCGAGACTGAGATGGAATCCTTCGGTCGGCATAGTAAACCTGGCACCTCCGAATAAATCCTCCTTCAGATGCAAATTCCAACGGCACAGTAAGGCAAACCATCCTTGCAGCCCCTGCACCTCCCTTCAAATTGTACAATCCAAGCACTCCGCCGACCACAAAGCACTCAATTTGTGACGCGAAAAGTGACTGCCGACCCCCTGTTCTAGCAAATGACAATATTCTCACAAAATCACACAAACACGGACATTCCGGGTTAGCGTGCTTTTGGGGATGAGAGACCAACACTCTCACGACCGTCTCTCAAAACCAGGGCATCACTACAAGTAAAAAGTGCATTACTACTAATAGCTAGAAGCTGCTAGTAACAAGGGCATCGCTACTAGATGCTACTAGTAACAAGCTCATTCCGCGCATCAGCAAGTTGCGTGACGTTTCTTCCTTGAGATCTTGCTTCGCTTGCCACGAAAGCACAGCGACATTAAGGCGAAGCCTGGAACGAGCCAATCCCTGAGACGTGGCACAGTGACAGGCGATGCACGTTCACAAGGCCGCCAAATCCAAAAGGCCCAAACAGCAAACACTTCACAGTACACACGGCACCCACTCAACAATAGAGCGGAACAGTTCTCACACAAGATGAAGCCTCATGGATTCCATACTATTTCACACAAATCAAACACCTCTGTGATCCTCTGTGTATCATTCACAAGCCCCCCAAACCTGCATGTGCAAGGCACACATGGCAAAAGGACTCGCCGGTGTCCAGGTCCAGTCCTATCCTTCGCTACCCGCGCCATCCGTGCCCGGCCTACAACGCCCATCGCGATGGCCCCCACCAGGCCGTAGAGTAGTGTCCCTCCTCCCCAGCTGCCAAAGTAGCCGATGGCGAACCACTTGGTGCCTTCCTGCCACCATGCTTTGGTGGACGTGGCATATAATGGAAAGGAGCTCAGATCAATTCCCCAGGATGGAAGTGCTTCGGAGCAATTAGGAATGCATTCCGATACATATTGAAAAGGGGATCATGCGCCACTTGTGGTCAATGTACTACAACTAAGGATTCTCTACGGATCTTGTCTGTGAGTCAGCAAAGTATCAGTGTTTAAGACCTGCGCAGGTGCTGAGGCGCATTCACATGTACGAGTATCCATTTCTTTGCATCCAACAAAATGGAAATGCCTTTCAATCCGCACTAAAACAGAATCATCTTTGTGCACAAAAACATACCAAAACTGAAATGAAGCCGCCACCATGGTCACAGTGGAGCCGGTGGCCAAGCTGAACATATAGTTTGAGTGCTCAACTTAAGGTGCCTGAATGCTTTCAACATGTCCAAATTCAGGGTAGGATATGTGATGTGTGGTGCCCAGTTTGCTTTTCGGCAAAGGACATAATTGCAGTAAGTGAGAAGGTCTTGCAGTGTACCACGAACGTATGAATCATGCAGTACAGCGAGAGGAGGAGAGGCCAACTGGCCAACTGAGCATAACTGGACAGGCTCAGGCTCCATATTCCAACGATGTTTAAAAAAAATCCACAAAGCACATAGCGCTTTTAATCCATCCGTCTGCTGGGTCCACAATTCCTTTGAAACACAGTCCACAATTCCTGCCTTTGAATCTCAAGACAAAGCCAGGAATGAGGACAACACTTTTTGTCATTGATCACAGAAACGATCACACAGCTGCTCAACGACATCTCAACAGCAAAAAATGAGTCACAACAGCAAACGCTACAAAGCCCTGGTGTACGTTCTGAGATATATATAAAATATTTATATATATATATACTAATCTCATAAACTACACATAATATATAACTATTGATATTATGTAATATTTATATTTAATTGTAGTTACAACAGTATTTCTGTTGAACAATATCAACAACAACTGCCGCTGGTAAAAAAACTCCAACAGCCCGCCTGAAGATCGATTTCGCGGCCACTCTGGGGTGCAGTACCTTCGGGGCAGTAGCCTTTGCCTTACCACGACGGAGCTGAGCACCAAATGGAAGCGGTCATGGACTGCAAACGGGGCTGCGGTGGATTTGGAGCTCCAAACGAAAGCTTGTGTTTCTGCTTGCTGAAGAAACTGGAAAAGAAGGGTCATGCTTGGAAGCAAGTGCATAAGAACGAAATAAATGAACAGCAAAATAACGCAGTGGCCTGCCCAATTATTCTATGCCCCAGTCAGGCTGTCGTGATCTCTCGTGGCTTGGGTGCAAATTGGTGCAACAACTCATTCGGCCACATGAAACATGGATATACATACCTCATCTCTGCGGCTGAGGTGCTCTCATCCTCCTCACACTTCATCAGCGAAGACTTGGTGACCCGCATCTGCGTTCGAATGAACTTGAAAAACTGATCAGTCGTCTCCTGCTAGTGCTCACGCCAACGAAAACACGCGAAATCGTTCATCTTCGGTCTCTATACAGGTCTCTACGATCCATAGAACTCCTTCTTTTCAGGTTGGACATGAGCCATGTCTGATTTAAACACGCCTCGGCATACGATTGACCCACTATCTCCGTTGCATTCCATCTGCTGAGTTGCTGCTCTTGAAACAATTTCTGTCATTGGGGGGAAATGCAAAGGTGCCAAGACTTGTTCTCGCCTCTGTCTCCTTTTTGCAACTCTTCTTTAACCTGAGTTAGGCGCTCATCGGAGCAGTCACTCACCCATGGCCTCTTCCTAAACTCAAGAACAAGTTCAGAAGTGAAGAGCACATGTTGCATGTCATAAGTTACAAGGACATTTCTTCATTGGGAGGGGTGGTGATGCGTCTCTTCCTCCATCATGCTCTTTGTCATCGTGTCTTCTTCCCAACTTCCCACCGATTCTGCCAAGGTGCTTGCTCCATTTGATCCCCTCCTTCTTCAATTGCGCATCAGACTCCTCAATGGGCATCTCGCGGCGCGTTTTGTGCGCACCCGACGAACCCACGCTTTGCTGGTTTTGGGATGCAACATCTCCTCCTCAGCAAAAGCTTTCAGATCAAAAGCAGAACTTGTCACCAGAGTTTGTCCCTCGGCCATGTGTCCTGCAGTGCTTTCTTGGCGGCTTTGAAGATAGGCGATGCTTTGGACACCAGTTTCGACATGCGGCCCCGGCTGTCATGCACCAGCATGTCCTGCCAATGACACGATCTTTTGAAAATGCAACATGGTGCATATGTTTCATCACAAGATGCCGCAAGTTGCCGTGGAAGCAAGGCTCAGGTCAAAGCATTTCTTGCCTTATCAATACACCACATACATGCACACATGCAGTGAATCGATCCATGTCACGTTCTTGATGTGGTGTTTTGTCCATGCTCGTGCTTCATGCTATATACATTACTTGTCATTGCTATTGCTGAAGCGTGCTTTCTGCTTCTAATCTTTCTTCTCCTACATAGTAGGACAAACTGAAACCACTGTCCACCGCCATTCGTGGCTGAGGGTTCAGGGTTACTCAAGTTTGTCTGGCGAGCATGAACCAAATCTGAAATGCCCCCTAATGTGGCCCTCAGATTTATAAACCATCCTAGAATAATGACTGTTTTTTTTCCTGCACAGATTTATAGAGGCCCCCATAATAATGTCTTTTTTGTTTGGAGGGGTAGTTGTAGTGGAATATGTTTTATTGTTATAGTTTACTTTTCCCCTTTGAGTTTTCTGGGGTTTCAAGCTTAAAACATATTTTGCTTTAAGTAAACTTGTATTAATTCCCTTTCTTTTCCTTTTGATTTGATTTACTTACCTAAGCTCTTTAGTCTTTAAGCTGTCCAAAAGTTTCCAAAAGTCAGTGTTGCACTTTCTTTATACAATCCCTTATTCAAAAGTATTGAAAAACAAAAAAAACTTTCAAGCAAAGGGGGTAGTCCAGCAGCCAGCTTTCTGACATTATTTAGGGGGGGCCCTAGAATAATGTCTAGAGATTTGAGGCTTTAAATCTTTATTCCTTTTCTTTGCCTTTTGATTTGCTTACTTACCCTCTATTCCTTTACATTCAAGCAAAGGGGGTAGTTAATTCATTGATTCATTCCCTTTTATTGTAATTAATATTCCAGATGTCTTCAAAGTTAGGTTTCTTGATTCCTTTTATTTTAATATTGCCAGAGTAGCTCCAGAGGTAGCTAGCTAAGGATTCCTTATTAAATTATCAATTGATTGATTTTCTTATACATTATTTTGGAGGCCTTGGTTGTTGAGGGGGGGGTTTATAAATCAAGGGACTACATTACGCGTCGGCGCGTCGTCCTCAGCATCCAACTTCTGCTGGACAGCATCTTTCAGCCCACTGGTAACATTTGCCATCAAACCTGGCTGTTTCAACGCTATCCCCAGAATTAGAGAATGTGTCTTACATGAGGGGATTTGCTTGAACTCGAGCTTATTAAGCAAATGAAATGAAACGAACAACAACCTGCCGGCTGGCACGGTAATGTATTTTGGGACAAAACCATGAAGCATCATGAAGCATGGTGCGGCGCCTTCCTGTCAGCCGATCTTTGGATTATTCAACACACCCAAAAGCCAAGGAGTCACGTGGAAAGCATGGTGAGTGGCGCGGCCCTTCACACCGAGCCAATGTGGAGAAGACATGCACAAACCCACCATTGGACTCACTAACGCATGACAAGGAAAGTGGAGTTCAACAACTGTTTCTAGTAGCGATGGCCTTCAACCTAGAAGCGATGGCCTCCTACTAGCGATGAAATGAAAATAATATTCTATGACTCGTGCTAGCTCACAACCAGGACACACGCATAGGTGTCTTCATCCTCGCGGTCTTTGCACCGCTCGCTCGCTGCTTGGTAAATGAAGCCCATTGCGGCTAGCTTACTACGGATCTGCTCCAAATCCGTGGCAAACTTCTTCTGGACCTAGCAGGGGACCGTTCGAGCCGACAGAAGACAACCACAATCAACAAGTGGAATCTTTTGCTCATAGCTGCTACCAACTTGAGAGCTCTTCCTTTTCAAAGGAGCTTGTAATTAGGTGCGAATTTGTGACAAAGAGTCTACAAGAATGGGCATCTTTTGTGGGCACCTGTCATCCAATAGATACACACCCTTCCAACACAAGTTCCAAAAGGGATGCATGGTTCTGTCGTCCCTTGCTAAGGCTTTGGACGGTTGCCGTGTCTATCCCCTTTCAATGTCCTACACTTGTAAAGTTATGATCAAGTCAAAGGGACACTAGGACGAGGACTTGTATCGAACAGGTTAATTACTCTCTCCCAAAACAAACGTAGCAACCATTAGCCATCAACCATCTGGAATCGAAGACTTATCTTCCCTGTGTGTGTGACATCTTCTATACACATAAAACAAATAGTACCAGGATGCACCGTGCCCGCCTGGCCAATCTACAGAGTCAGGGTTTAGGGTTCAGGTTCAGGGTGTTTAGGGCTTGGACTGTTGTTCGCATGGAATCGCTGAGACATTGATCAATGTTGCACCCAAAACATGCACACACATATATATATATATAAATACATTTGTTCTATCGGACCATCGGAGTTGACATTGTTATAGCCAATGAATGTGTCCTAACGCTGGAAAATGTCCATCATCCGAGTGTCAAAACTGATGCCAAAGGGAATTGAGTGCATTCTAAAAGCCTGCGGGATGGTCTATCCTCACCGTACAATTACCATCCATGGACAAAAATACATTCCAGAAAGCCGCTGCACAGGCACCGCTCACTTTCATCTGATGTCTGCAGTCTATCTGGATTGTCCCAGAGAAACAAAGCAAAAAGGTTCTGCACATGCTCAAACATCGTATGTACTGATAACCCAAACATCCTAAATTTAAGTTCTCGACCTTCCAAGGAAATGTGTTATTTGGATCTTATAAAGATAACAAATGATCATGCCATGCCAAAATAGATTTAACATGAAACGATCATCGATTTGCAAAAGGCTCAGTTCATTCTGAGAAGTTCACCCCTTTGACAAAGGCTCTTCTCTCGGTCGGACACCGAGAAAGGCCTCGCTCTTGCGGATGGACCGATAGATCTTTTGCTTCCTGTTAAGGCTTTCCTTGGACCAATTCCCCCAAAAGCTGCCAAGTTGCTCCAACAACACACAAAAAACACCGAATGCACGGCAACTGCCTGGCACGCTCTCTTTTATTCTACTAGCCTACTCCACAATGTTGGCGAATTACACCAAAACTGCGTCTCGATTCCGACAGAAAAGGTCAAACTTCCCAGTGATTCCTTTGGGCATAGTCGAAATCCTCATCTTAGTGTGTTTGAGGCCATCGCTTCTAATTTGGAGGCCATCGCTGCTAGGTTGGAGGTCATCGCCTCTAGGCTGGAGGCCATCGCTCCTAGGAGGCCATCGCTATATTTTGTTGGAGGCCATCGCTTCTAGGCTGGAGGCCGTGGCTTCTAGGTTGGAGGCCATCGCTAGTAGGTTGGAGGCCATCGCTAGTAGGTTGGAGGCCATTGCTACTAGGGTGGAGGCCATCGCTACTAGGTTGGAGGACATCGCTAGTAGGTTGGAGGCCATCGCTAGTAGGTTGGAGGCCGTCGCTACTAGGCTGGAGGCCATCGCTTCTAGGTTGGAGGCCATTGCTAGTAGTAAATTTGTTAAAGTATGTTTAAAGGGCAGGCTTGTATTCTTTTTGCGTCATCGCGTCCCAGTGATTTGTTTGGGCATCCTCGAACTCCTCCAACGCCACGACATCTTCCAGAAGCTTCGTCTGCAACTCGTCGTTCCAACTGACACCGACGACCAAGGTTCAATCGGGTGACCAATCAGGGTGGCCAATGAAGCCATCAATGACTGCATGCATGAGTAGCACATTATTGGCACCCGTCAGGTGTCAATTTTACTCTAAGTTGTTTAAAGAAAACACACTGCCTTCTTCTCTTCTTGACAGATGGATGATTTATCTTTTTTACGGTAATGTTCTGCCTGTTCTTGGTATGTGCAAAGTAACAGCCCTTGAAACATTGCAAAACAGGGTAATCAACCATTCACATGTCCATGGTTCATTGTCATGTGAACATGTGTGCAACATTGGAAGAAACAAGCACTCGCCTTCCACCAAAGCGTTTGTAGATCTGTCCGAAACCAACGGCCTTCTCCTAAGCGGATTCTGGTGGATATGCCGAAGAACTCCACGTTCAAGATGGGTATGACAACGCAAAGTATATACGTTCAAAAACAAGAAAGCTGACACTTGGCATATCTTCTCATGAGGAACAAACAACTGGCTGGTTCCCGTCCAGGACTCTAGGATGCATTCGCGAATCAGGGCTTTGTGCGCTTCTGCTTTAGCATTTGGAGCATCTACACCTGCGGATGTCCAAGATAGCACCTCTGATTGTGGAGTCCATTTTCCACGCGGACTGGCTGAGGTGTGGTAGTAATATGTGAAGGCTCATTACTTACCAATTTTATGCATAGCACGCTTCTGAACATGAGAACCTTGAGACACAGACTTTAAGGTCCCAGTGCCACCAGAAACAGTGCAGGATCATCAACCCAAGATCGGTGTGTTTGACAGACAATTTGGGATTCTCTGTGGTGGTGGTGGCCCGTCGGCAGATGTTGGTCGCTGGCAGAACGTAGTGGGGTGGAGATCGCTCCTTTCCCACTACGCTCCTCTGCAATGACTTTGGCAATGCGAACAGCGGGTGCTGGACGCCACACTTGCGATGCTCTGCAGCGGAACTCAATTAAGCAAACCATTTTATGGCGGAACACCTCACAATGTGTATGCATGTGTGGGCCGGATAATTGCAGCAATTGAGCACCTCGCAAACATTGCACATTGAACAAATTCTTGCAGGGAACCCAATGAAGGCTCAATGGAGGGTGTGAGTGGAATGGTGGTCAGCAACAATTGGTTATATGAACTTTGTGCATCAAGAATACCTTTTACGAAGTTCTGAGCAGGCTTTTGTTACGCTTAGTTTTCCTATTGGCCCAGCATTCCATAAAAGGTCCCCGAATGTCCCAGGCCTAAGTTAGTAGAATAGGTGTTTGCAAAACCAATTCTGTGCACTACCCTTCCGCTTGCCTCTTTTCTAGAGGGGTTCCCGATCCTTGACGGCATGCCAAGTGTTCCTGACACGTGTCAAGTGTGGCACGTGATGCCTTGCATTTTGCAGCGAGTCATTCGCAATGCCCAGCCGACGGACGAAACCCGCACGAATCGCCGGCGACGAACCGAACCTTCTTCTTCCTCACTGCGACTCTCAAGCACACTGGCTCCAACAGTCACATTCTTCATGATCTCGGGGTGTGGCAACACAACATTGAGATCCTGAAGCAAAACACGTCAAGCCAAACGTTCAGTCATGGAGCCACCTTTGCTTTCGGAAAGAATCCAATGGAGCAACAAGGGTCAACTATTACCCATTTTACTTCGAGTGATCCCCACCCCATCCCAAGAAGCAAGTACCAAAATGGAAGGACATCCTCAAATGACCTGACACTCGTTCTGGTATCATAATCTGAGATTTGTCCTGGCGTATGACATGTTCTGACACGTGGTATCACATATATAATGTAATCCGACATTTATTCTGGCATATGTTCTGACACGACAAGTCTTGCAGTCCTTCATATGTTCTGACAGTTGTTCTGGACATGTAACCTGACTGTTGCTCTGATAATGCAATCTGACGTTTGTTCTGGCATAAATCTATGTAAAACTTGACATGTGTACTGGCGTTTGTGCGGACATAGCCTTTCGAGACCAATAAACCCAGCACGACACAGGGAATAAAGCCCGCCGCGGCAGAGACGTTGGAGACCTGTGAGGGACAGTGCTACACAGTGCTGTGGGGGACCCGCGGAGCAAACATGATAGAGCGAGCAGTAGAAGAGGAACAAAGGAAAAAAACACAAACGTAAAATCCAGAGACGGGGAGGAAAAACACGGTTCTGCTGCTGGACTTTATGCACTGTATCATAAAATTGTCAACAAAAGAACAATCTTGGGTTCTAGCTTGTATACGTTGGTTGCTGGACAACTTTAAGATATTTTAAGAACAGAAAGGAGCGCTCTGAGCGGCGCGTTTTTGCATTGTTTCATTTTGTTTGTATTTTGTTTCTATATTTGTATTGCGTTTCTATTGATTTTTGTGCCACTGAAAGAATACTATTCTGCCTCAACCCCCCCCTCCCCCAAAGGCAATTTCCAAAATTCCAATTTTCCAAAATTCCAATTTTCCAAAATTCCAATTTTCCAAAAAAACCAAAGAAACCAAAAAAAACAAAAAAACCAATTGTGCCAGGACTTTGCCTCACCCCCTCTTCCCCCCATGGTCTGTGCAGAATTGTTTTTTTTTGTTTTTTTGGTTTCTTTGGTTTTTTTGGAAAATTGGAATTTTGGAAAATTGGAATTTTGGAAAATAGGAATTTTGGATTTTTTGATTTCCTGGGATGTTTTAAATTTTCAATTTCCTTGGAAGTAGACAATACTACCACTTTCTCTCAATTCCAGAACAGTCTCTGAAACCCTCAGTGATTTGTTCATTAGGGTCTAATAATGCTCCTTCTGCTCCTTTAACTCGAAAATTGGTAATACCTGACATTTTAGAATTATAACCAGTAAAATTGACATCTGCATTTTTTTCAAATGACATACCAATAATGAATTTGTTCTTTCTGTATTGACGATACGAAAAACTTAAACTGTCATGTACTGTATAGCTCTTCTTAAATAGTAAAATATTTATGATAATGATTGCGCTTCAAATTCTGTGTATTTCTGGGAATTGCTTAATTGAATTTGCCAACTTAAACTACGGGTGGCATCTTGAAAACCTTTGTACCTTGTAAGTCATTTGTATCAGCATTACCAGTATCATTAATTCTTCCATAGATCATAGGATTAATTCCGTCTCTTATATACATAATTGTCAGGTAAGTATCGGTTCAGTTCTTCACCACTCCTTGGAGTTCTAAAATGCTCCAGTCAGTTCAGAAGATGATTTTACAATATTCATATTAATTTCACCACCACCAGCATTGAATGTTTGGGTGATTGTGTGATAACAATTTGTAATGTTTCTTATCTTTGCCATTCCGCCCCCTTCTATGTCCTGCCATTCTAACACTCAATGGCTGACAAGTAGCACCAATATAGACATCGTCATTTTGTCATTTAGTATTCTGTAAAATTTTGCCTTGGAGTAATCCACCATAACATTACATATTTTAACTAAGTTTAAATGTTTTTTTTAAATGAGTGATTGGGGTTAAATCCATTGCTTATATTGGTGCCGGGATTGATGTTCCAAAGGCCGTTCCCTTCAAAATTGATATAGCTGTGGCTCATTAAAGGGTTAGGTTCTTTCAAATCAGAAGTTACAGCGTAACCATCCAACATTGAAACAATATCGGATGGATTGCGGTAGTCAAGTCTTTTGGGACTTTTGTTCCTTTCCTTTTTGTTTCTATTGTAGGGGTAGCATAGGTTGTTGTAGCAAATGTATTAGGTTGTTCTTGATTGATCTTATTACAGCACTTGCAAGGTTATGCCCAACCAAACGGGTTATTTCTGGTGACTTTTCCAATTCTTCTATAACATGTTTGTATTTCTCACTGTGATGAACATTTCTAGTAGGTACTAATAACAGATCATCCATAATATCCCTTGTTCAAGATCCATCACAACCACCTGTGCCACTTATGTATAAAGTCTTACTTGTTTTGTAAAAAGCACTTGGTGATGAATAGGCATTCCATAAGCCCCTGCGGTCTTCTATCTTCTCCTTGTTTGCTATATTTTTCTCTTCAGCATATAGTGTTCTATGTTGTTTAAAGTGATCATTTAAGTTTCTTGTAAAGTCATTCATTCTATCATTCCAATTTTTGTTCTTTTTTTTCATAATCACTGTAGGTTTCTTGACCGATCTTACTGAATAACATCTGGGCGCTTCCAGGCAGATCCTTCCAGGCAATGTCAGACACATCAATCATTCTCAAGAAAACGCATGAAAAAGGTTGAAAAATGCTCATTTTCATCGAAAAACGCGCCGCTCACAGCGCTCCCCTCTCTTTAAGAATTGCAACTCTGTAGCAGCATGAATGACGAGCAGTCATGCGGTAATCATTGCTCGTGACGTGAGCAAGAACCCTGTACGAGTACTTTGAGTGGTTTCCACCGGCGAGGCGGTTTGGAAAACATTATGCACTGACAAACTGTTTTGACAAAGGACCTGACACCGTAGTCTGACATGTGTTGTGTGAGAATGTACAGTATTCGCTTCTGATATACGTTCTGACATTGGGAGACCGACTTACACAAATCCTTGGGAGGTCCAACACACTCACGGAGACCGATGAGCAAAGCGCAAAGGAAGGAAGGAGAAGAGGGGGGAAGAGGCATAACATCTAGAGAGGATCACCTGACGGGTGGGGAAACAAAACGACATTGGTTTCAATGTTAATGTGGGTCATGCCGAAACTTGGAACACATCGGCTACGCCTCCTACATCAACATCCCTGCAACCGCCCTCATTCTCTCCTCCCGCATTGCGCCAACACGGACAAGAGCTAACGCAAACAACGACCACATGGCTTCGGCGGAAACAATGGGTATCTATCCACGCTTGAGACAGGATGATGCGATGTTGTGACCTCAAAGATCTCAAACCAAGAGCAGTAGCCATTGGTTTGAGATGAAAATCTGGCAATGTCATGACATTCTGGTCAAACCACATAACATTCAATGGCCAGTGACGTTTGTCACTCGGCTTGACGATTGCTCTCCACGTCTAACATATTCTAGCGTTCTTTCACACGCAGCACCACCAGACCTCCTGCCAACATCAATCGCAGCTCACACAACCAACTGAGACAGCATCTCCTCTGGGGAGGTCTGAGTTTAGGTCTGACTCAAAAGTAAGCACCAACCAACCACTACCACCACCAACTTAATTCTTCCCAAATCATCAAAACTATCTTGGGTATTTTCGAGAAACCTTATTACACCCTAGGCCCTAGACTGGTCAAAGAAAGCATCAGCATGATAGACTCATCTGTCATTGCCTTCACGTTCGCTCCATTTCTTCATTTCTCCAGCTGCCAGGTGCTTTTTCCGGGCGAGCACCCACCAAGCGCGCTCACTGCAGGGCTCGCAAATCAGTATCGACGTATCTGGAGCAAGCTTCAGAGTGAAGGTGGAAGAGTTTGACAACCGAGCAAGGAAGTGTGATGATGTTGCTCATGATGGCGCTGATGAGGATATGTTTCCTTGTGCACATTGTGGGTACACATACTGTAGGTTCATGGATCCCGACACATGAAGTGCTGCTCAGTTGCAAAACACCCTCTACAAAGAATATACAGTAATGTTTGATCGATACTCTCTCCTCAGTATCAGCTGCATTTGTTCCACATATTTGGACAAACATTGACTCTTACTAGTTACTCAAGGACTCCTAGCCGCTAGCCCTTTCTACTTGGGAAAGTCGGAGGAAAAATTGTGTTCAGAAGGCTCGGATGATGTTGCCTTGAACATCTTTCTTGATCAGCTGTTTTGGAAATTTAGATGATCACCCGCTTCAAATCCTGACTATAATAATATGTTGTAGACTTTCTATCTGATACCAAAAACGTGTGTATATGAGTATTTCAGTATAATATATATTACAAAGACGTATCAAGTATCATATATATATAATAGTAATATATACAGTAGTATAATATATCGCTCTTAGCCTCTCTTCTGATTTTATGCCATGATCCAACCGCAAAAAAATCAAACAGCAATCCCAGCGGTGATCGAAGCCCGAGAGATCCGGACCGATCCGGTCGCGTCGGCCTGAGTTGACCCGTGGCATCTTTGAAGTAGAACGCCTGGCGCCCGGAGTTTCTCTGAGTACACGATGTGATGGTAGGGGCCGGACTTGGCCTTTGTTTTGGGGTCTATCAGCGATGCCTTCAAACCCATTCGGTCTCAAACAGGGAGAGCTTCCTAACAAGACCCCCCACTCTCTTCGCATCTGGGACTCACAGTGATGCTGGGTGATCGGTCTGCGATCAAGCGAAGCCTCGCGTTCCTTTCCAACAAACGAACAGTGATCAGTCCTGTATGTGGGATCCCACTGGTCATTGTTAGTAATGCATGGTGGAATGTGTATGGTGTTGATGAGGCATAAAGTCAATTAAAGTCAGCTCATGTCAGCTTTTATATCATGAACCAAGTCATGAGCGCTCCATAACCAAGTTCTGTCCGCAGTCAAAGGGGTTCTCGAGGATCCCAGCAAACCGCGCAGGACTTCGCAGGACTTCGTGGCCTTGGTGGAGGTCCTGGACTTTCGCCTTCGCCGCCGCAATATCCTGCCGCCCGGATCGCTGGTTTGCCCCAAGCGAGAACCCGGATCGGTGATGCTTGGACTCTCAAGGTTTGGGCACCAGACGTTGCCATGTTTGGCACCCCCCCAAAAGTTGCCAAACTAGGGTTTGGGTGCGTAGTGAACTCCGGGTGTTGGACGGACCCAATTGGCAAAGCACACTTCAGCAAATTCCTTGGAAGTCTTGTGGCGGGTCTGAACATATGAGGATTATATAATTGGGTTGCATAACAAATACTAATGAGTTAGGATGCATTGCTCCCCAAAAAGTATACAAATAGAACTACAAATAGATTATCCAGGTTTGATTGAAGTGCATGATTAGTTATATTTTATAATGAGTAAAATGCCAACAGGCACTTTGATCTCAAAAGCACATCTGCATGAACGGGCACACGCTCTCATCTGCGGTCCTATATTCTGTAGTCACATCAACTAATTGACTTCTTAGATTCTTGTATGGAACAGTGTTTCTATACACTCTGTCATGGTGCTAGTTGGGAAGGAGAGCTCAGGCTTTCAAGTGGGCGGTCTTTTGATGCGAAGCACGAGTGGCGGTCTTTCTCTTCCAGATTGGAGGCGAGAAACACCGTAATTTATTCATTCTTGACTTAATTGATTAAAGATGGTGATGAAGTCATTGACCAATCAATTCATTGTATCTGCCAGGATTCTCCTTGACTTAATTGACTCTCTGACTCGAGTCTCTTCGATTCTTCACATGTTCCAAGACTCCACTCGACTCCTTCGGATTCCACGGAAGGCATCCTGGCAAAGGCAAAGGCATGCACCGCACGGTCCGGCATGTACCAACGGATGTCGAAGATGGTGTGTAGTTCTGGTGATGTTCCATGTTTGCCATGTAACCAATCTTGCCAGGCCAAGTCATCATTAGAAACATGACTGGATACGTTGATACTCTGCACTTTAATGTCATTGAATCGGGCCTGATCTATTGTATTACAAAGGAACAAGTTTGCTGCTGATGGAATACATTGCAGTTGCACACCTGCTCTTACTCTACCAGTCGCACAAACTATGCCAGAAGATGTCGGATGACAAAAAAAGCATTCTTGCAGCAACAACGATCCTTTTCTGCAAACCTCTGTGTGATCTCGGTGTGTCCATGCCGACCTCCGCTCTGAACTGTGTCCCATTTTTTCGGAACAGTGCCTGACCCATGCCCTCCGGACACACTCCATGCTGACGCTGGAGATGCGAACGCACGTCCAGTTTCTGCAGGCCGGTGAGCGGTGGTCGAACCGCGGCCATTCTGCGGTATGAGGGACTTGATGAGAGATGAACTTGATGAGGGGACACCAAACCATCCTTAGAAGGGAAGGATCTACCTTTGACTCAGTAGATGGATACGGACTCATGGTTGTTGACTCTGTACTTTCTATCATCATCATGTTCAAGGTTGTATTTGTGGGCTGCTAGAAGATTGATATAGTTTTTGTTGAACTTGCCTGATATGTACTCTGCTGCATATCAAGGGGTCATAGTGGGACTTCAGAACAAACCCAAGATCCTCAAGGCCATAGCTTGTCCCGCCGGACGCTCTCCACACGTCTGTCTGCACTGCACGTGTCGCTTTTTTGGCTCTCGTCCCTTCGCCGGGAGGACCATCTCCTTTGGAGAGGAGCCGGAGAGGCCCAGCCTGAGGAGTTGGAGAAGATCCAGAAGAGCAGTGTTGGAGTATGTTGCAGTGTGTCCATCTCACTCTTGGCTCTAGGATCTTCTGGGTATCTAGTTGTATCCAGAGTCGTTGTTTCATGTTGTCCGAAAGTTCTTTCACTCGGCCTTTCTGGCTCTATTGCTGGGGATTTCGGTTGATGTTCATTGAACGCCACTCTGAGATCCACCGGCAACATCTAGACACTCTGAGGATTTCTGTCTGACTCTTCTCCTCTACCACATATGGAAATAGCAAGTAATAGCAAGTATTTTCCGTAGCTCTCAGAAGGTGACTTCGGAACAAATCAGGTTCTGCATGGTCCTTCAAACCAAACCGGTAAGTGAAGTGGTATCGAAAAACAACTGCGTTTTCGCCAGATGATTTCAAACCCTGGGCCCTATAGAATAAGTTTAGGGATTGAACACGATAGAAAAACAAACTACCATATTCCAGAGTGGATTTGTGTATATATACTTGGTGGGTTTTTCCACCAGAACGAAAATTATTTATCCACTGTCCG